TACAAAGGGTAATTATCAGAGATGAAAATAAGCCACTTCTTACACCTGGAAAGAGGATCTCACCAGGGATGAAAATAGGCACTTATGAGAATGGGAAATGGGCATTTGTTGACGGAAATGGAGCACCCATCAGATTTTAATAGGGTTATTTATAAGTGGTGAAAAGAAGATAGGTCCCTTATTAGAAAAGAAAAGGGACACGTTACTCAGGAAATTACCAGAAGTGAAAAGGGGCACTTATCGCAACTGAAAAGGGTCACTGACCAGATATGAAAGGAGGACCTATCAGATTTTAATAAGGGTATTTATCGGAGGTGGAAGGGCGCTTTTATGAGAAGGAAGAAGTAGTTTTTATTAAAAATAAAAATAGTCACATGTCAAATAAACGACTCATTCATCAGAGATGAAAGAGATAATAATGAGAAGGGGCAGGGGCACATATAAGAAGCAAAAAAAAGTGTTTATTAGAAAGGAAAAGGGGCACGTGTCAAAATAAGGGGGGCAGTTATTGGAGGTGAAAAAGGTCATTCCTCAGAGATGAAAAGAGCAATTATCGGAGGTGAAGGGGGCACTTATCTCAAGTGAAAAGGAGTAACTTCTCGTACCTGAAAAGGGTCATTTACCACTTATAAGAAGCAAAAAAAGTGTTTATTAGAAAGGAAAAGGGGCACGTGTCAAAATAAGGGGGCAGTTATTAGAGGTGAAAAAGGTCACTCCTCAGAGTTGAAAAGAGCAATTATCGGAGGTGAAGGGGGCACTTATCTCAAGTGAAAAGGAGTAACTTCTCGTACCTGAAAAGGGTCATTTACCATAGATGAAAAGGGGCATTTATGACGAGGGGAAGGCGATCTTAATTTGTTTTAATGGGAGGAAAAGGGGCGCTTATTAGAAAGAAAAGGGGACACATGTTAAAATTAAAGGTGCGCTTATCTGATTTAAAAGGGGGTAGCTATTAAAAGGTAGCTTCTTACACAGGGAAAGGGGGGCACTTGTCACAGTAAAATGGGCACCTCTCAGATTTGACAAGGGCAATTATCAGAGGTGAAGGGGGCACTAATCAAAAGTGAAAAGGGGCACTTCTCGTAACTGAAACGGAGCACTTGACAGAGATTAATAAAGGCACTTATGAGATTGAAAAATTGACAATTATTGCAAAGGAAAAAAGGAAAAATTGTCGAAGGAAAAGGGGCACGTGTAAACAAAAGGGGGGCATTTATCATAGGGGAAAAGGGGGGGGGCATTTTCACAATGAAATAAGGCCGATTAAGTAAAGTAAAAGGGGCGCCTTTCCCATGTAAAAGGGGCACTTTTCGTATGTACAAAGGGTCACTTTGGTTCACTTGTAAAAGTGGGGGCATTTTGCCCCCTCTGCCCCCCCCCCCCCGAGGGTCATATTGCTCCGGTTGTCTCATTTTCGCTCGCTGGAACATTGCCAGCACAAACCACTGACCTTTACCTCCTGGACGGATCATCGCCCAATTCATGCTTCTTATCCTTCGTGTGCTTGACTTATAACCTTACAATCGCGTGGTAAATTGAGTCCAAAGTTCGACTTGTTTTACATGTGTTATATAGGCAATGGCGAGCTTGCGACCTATTTTGATGAAATTACGGTGGGTGAACTTTCAAAAGTCAATGAGACATGAGGGTTCCAATGAAAAAGCTAGTGAAAACGTACGTCGGGGTGGATGTGCTTTTCGTTTAAACAAAAATGAATTTTTAAGGTTTTTTGTTTTTGTTTTGTAAAAGTCCATATGCTAACATGTTAGGCTGCTGACTCTGAAGATAGGGGGCGTTGTCAAATGAGACACGGAGCTAGATGCGCCCCTGCAATCAACACCATGCTTCCCTGATGCTAGTATGTTTCAGTATGTTTTCAGCCTCACCTTTCACACATGTTGGGCCCAATGCGTCCATAGCAGCTTGTAATATCTGCTCTACTTTCTTGAATACCTGCTTTTGATAACCTTCTGTTATTTCCTCCATAAGCTCCTTTTCTTGGCCTCCTGGGCTTCCCATATCACTTGCCGTATGGTTTGTGGTCTTCATCCCTCCCTGATTTATTCCAGATTTTAAACTTTGCATTCTTCTCCTCAAGAGCCTTTGCGACATCCTCATTCCATCACCACGTTTCCTTGTGTCTGCTTTTTCCTCATGTCCATCCGCACACCTCTGCAGCTGCATCAATCCAAATCTTTTTCATTGTCAGTCTTTTATCTTCTATACCACTGGCCTATTGAACCTCTGCATTTCTGGATTCAATAATAGACCGAAAGTCCTCTTTTACTTCTTTCTTCTTAAGTTTTCAGATCTGCAGCCTTGGCTTGAACTTCCTTCGTTTCTTCTTACTGGCCTTTATGTGGAGGTCTACAACGTTTAAGTGATGCTGAGAGACACGTTCCTCTCTGGCAAATGCTTTCACATTCTTCATCATGGCCCAATCAGTGATTCTTACCAGGATGTAATCGATTTTGGGTTTTGTTTCCACCAGAGTCATATGTGATAAGGTGACTGTCTGATTTGCTGAAGAAAGTGTTTTCGATCATCATTTCCATGGCTTCAAATTATTCAAATTATAGAATTGTCACCCCCTTTGTGTCCCTTCTGCCAAATCCCATCCCTCAATGAGCACCCTGAAAACCATCTGCTAACTTGCCAACATGACCATTTAGGTCACCTTCTAGGATGACTGATTCCTTAACTATCAGGAATGGTGCAACAATAACTTGCATCTGATTCCAGAATGCATCCTTCTCCTGTGTCCTGCCTTACTGAATTGCATAGACAGAGAGAATGTTGACAAGTTTGCTCCCTATGACTATTTTTAGGGCAATGGCTCTTTCGCTAATCATGCCCATGCTATAACCACTTGAGTAACCCACGTCTCGCTTATCAAGATCCCTACCCCAGGAGTATCATCATCTAACCTTGCCAGTAGAACTTATACCAAGCCAACGGGCACTGCCTCCTTTCCATCTTGTCTCCTGCAGACAACAGATCAATCTTTCTCCGTCTTATCACATCTACTACCTCTCCAGACCTTCCTGATGTACTCCCTATGTTCCTTGTGGCAACACATACGTTGTTCCCCGAATCTGAATGTCTTATCTTGTCCATTTGACAGTCCACAGAACATATTGCTCTGTCTTGCCATAAAATGAAATTGATCGAGCATTAGTTTACGCCAGATGACCTTCCTGTCGCAACCATAAGTGGCCTCTTCCCAGCAACTCTTCCGTCCGTAGCTATTGGCCACTGAGGCGCAGCTCATATGCCCCTGCAACCAGGAGCCAGTGGCCGACTTGTCCTAGATGCATGACCAACCGGGGCCATGCGTTGACAGGTGTTATTTTTCATCCGGCAGGGTGTCTAGGCACCTTTCTACTGAGAGACTCACTGGGGGCCGGATTAGTCGCCGGCCACTCGACCATGATGCTGGCAGTACAGGCCTTACATGGTTTCCTGTAGCAACAAAACAGTTTGTCAGACATGAATCGACAATAATTAGCCTATACCTGATACAGGGGCGCTTTATATTGAAAACACTACCAGCCCCCAGTGGTTTTGTTTCGTGGTTTCCTGTACCTTTGTTTAACGTTTTAACTTATCTTAATAGATTCTATGACCCCGAAAACCATATAGACAACCCAATTAATATGTCTCTCGGATGGATAATAAGTGACTTATGGCATTTTCATATTATGGCGGCCATTTTGGACGCCATCTTGGATTTTGGGGTTTCCTGAGCCATCACAACCCATTCTTGTTTCAAGGGATTCTCTGACCTCAAAAACTATGGGATAGACTTCAAAATGATGTGTCTATGATAGATAATAAGTGATTTATGGTCATTTTTAGGTATCGGCGGCCATCTTGGACGCCTTCTTGAGAATAACAGCATTCTGAACATCCGATTTCGGTATACTTTCAGTATCTTATTCCTAAGGTCAAATACTTCTAGAAACCGTTGAAAAACCTTTTGTTGCGATTGTTTAGGTCAAACCATATATTGACCCGACTACAGGGCAAATTCGGTGTTTAGAGCTGGTGTGATCACCACACCATCGTTTGAAACAAAATTGTTTGAAACAAGAGAGTAAAGAGTATTGATGATGCTCTGATATTAAGCAGTACAGATGACTCCAAAAGGAAAATGGTGTTCACTTCTTATTTCTATCAAGGATTTATACGTAAAATGTATTAATTAAAACAATGGCACCGACTGAATTTTTTTAGAATGTGCCCAAAGTAACTAAAAATTCATATTTAGGCATTTATCATTGTTATAAATGTATTTCAAAATGAATCCTTTCCCTGAAAACGTTCGTTTTAGAAAACCCACTATGAACATAATTATTATAATGAAGTATGCCAATGAACGTAACCGAGCGTTAGGGTCTTGCAAAATACAGGCATTGCTTCTGGTCCATGTCCCTCCAATATAACGTTTATGTTTACATACACAAAAATATCGTTTTCATTTTGAGCTCTAAATTGAGTACATTGATTTATGTCAATTACTGAGTTTACATGCATGTACATGTAAGTATTGTACATGCTTACGAAACGGATATGATCAAATAAAATCAGATCAAATCAAGACCCCAAAACCACAGGGGCCCGACATGGTCCAAAAAGGATCCAATACTCATTGCAGTGGTGTCAAGATGACTGCTCGCATCACTGATTCTTTCTCGGAACGCAGATTTGAAGTCATATTGCAGGTTGTTTCCATTCATGTGGATCTGTCATCGATCAACTAATTAATCAATCAATAAGTCCGAAAATATGCAAAATAGTTTTTAATTCAATTCTTATAAATTAAGAGTTAATTTCGTTTAATTGCATCACGTTTTAAATGTAAAGGTTTGCTTTGGGGTATATACTTCCATAGAATAGCCTTATTTGTGTTTATTACATTATTGGGGTATAACGTGCAGAATTTTTGTTTAAGTCATCGTCATTCTTATTTTCTCTTCGATTCGTTTACGGGATTACAGGATCCGTCACCTTGATGTGCTGGAGCCATTTATCCAAGAGTTTTCCCGTGCCGTTATTGATCTTTACGGTTAGTTGATGACGTAAACTGCTTTTCCATATGAATTAAAGATTGATGCTTTCAAACACTAGTTTTAATTTCCCTTTTTATCCCCAAAAACTTGATTCCCCAATACCTTTGCCCAGGTTGTATGTTTTGTATCGTATTGCGTGCATGACATTTCACAATTCTTTTTATAAACTTTGAAGAGTTGATACTATTTTCTGAATATTGTACATTCATAATTATTGATTTGTATATATTAAAATAGTTTATCGAAATTCACACTTTTCATGAATTAACTGAAAAAACACTATATTAGTGCACCCACATTACTATCAATCTAACTTGGATGCTGGTGTGAAGAAATAAGATTCTTAGGGGGAAAATAGAAAAAATTATATTAGCAATATAAAGAAAATAATTAGTGGATAGTGAGGACATGACATCACAGACTGATGAGTGAGTTCCCAATTTGTCTTGTGATTTTCATTGTTCCACAGTTTTTAAAGGTTCATAACTTTCTTATTAGTTATTCTATCTTACTCAAACTTTTTTTGATTGGTTTGTCTGATTTGTCTGCTTCTATTAAAAGAAAGTTATTTTGGAGTGAACTTGTCCTTTAAACAATATTATCATTTTTGTGATCGTCATTTTCCATAAGAGTTACAATCAAAATACCAATTTATCACATGTTGAATACAGGTTTCAGAATGACCTGTAGGAGCTGACATAAACCAAATTATCGATAAATGTGAACATTAATTCAATTTCAGAGTATTTGTCTTTATTTTATACAGGTCGACATATGATGGTAGTGGTTCTTCATAAGGAGTATCTGCAACAGAATGGAATGTTAACGGATGTAAAGGAAAGGTTTGAAAGTGGGACAGGTGTTCCAGTTGACAACTTTTGGATATTTGAAAACTACACTCGGAATAACCATGAACACAATGACGAAAAAAGCATTGATTTTCTCAAATTCCTTAAGAGATGCGTGTTAGTGGGAGAAATGAATAATGACTACATAATTCAGAAAAGTGCCGAAAAGCAATCCCCGTTAGATCGACTGTTGACTTGGTACCACACATCTTAGAGATATTTCCATGAATGGTACTTTGTATTTTAAGGAGTGGTGTCGGTACATGCCACTTTGATAAGTGACCTTTTTTAAAGGCATGGTAATTTACTGGCACTACTTCTGATTTAGGTATACTGCCATCTGCTGTTCACGATGTTCCGATTTGTCGACAGCCATGTCCCACAATGCATCACCAACTGCATGACGCGCATGATGATGCTTGGGTTACAGGAACCAGAAATCGCTCTATGTACGCCTTCAACAGAAACTGGCGCAATTGAAAATACATTACTTCAGTGGTAGCGATGTCGGTAAAATACCCTGCCTTTAAAGGTACTATGTCCCTTTTACAGCCAACCCCAAATTCTGTAGAACTTTGCAGGAATTATGAGTATGTCATGTATGTCCTATCTGTGAAATTTAAACGTTAGCAGTGTCCTCATATTCAAATTATGCAAGGAAACCCGTTTACTTGCTAGACTTCACTGTCAGACACTATTGAGTGACTGACTTTTTTTCTTCTTTGGTAATAACATATATGAAAAGAGTTGTAAAGGGTACATGAGCATTTGTCTACATCAATAACCCACTTCTTGTGATGGCCAAGATTAAACTGATTGAATCTTTGCACAGCATAAAACGTACGACCATTCGGTACTATTGTCTGAAAAATCAAGACTATTACTTTTGGGCTCTATAGCCCTAAAGTCGATTTGAAAACTAATAGTCGTTATTTCCCACTTAAAGACATTTTCAAGCCCCACCTTTTTTAGGGAAGTTCTAAATTAGTATTATCTTACAAATGCAGTTGGAATTTAACTTTTTCATTTTTGGCCTGCAAATGGGACATAGTACTTTTAAGTCACTGCTGCTATAGAGTGGTGAAATGTGACGTCATCAAAAATCTATTTTTAGAATTTCTCAATTTTTTGTTCATTTTCCGAAAGAGCATCAAAAATAATGTCCAAATGTCGAAGACCAATTGTATATGTTTATTATTGGCTGAGATATGACCAGCTGAATGAATAGATTTTCTATAGGAGCTCAGTGTTATATGCTCTGGTTCCTAATGGTCTTTTGGAAAATGAAAAAAAAAATGAAAAATACTAAAAAAAAAAAAAATTATGACATCACAGCTTCGGTACATGGAAATCAGACCTTCACACAGATTTCTCCATAGAAAAGCAGCAGAAACCGTGAACTTTTAATATGAATCCATAAGTTGAAATCACGAGTCAACGAAACGGAGTTAAGTCTTTTGTCAATTCCGTTTGTTGCTACGGCAGGCAGCCAGTGAAAACGAATTCGTTTAATCAAATTATGGAAATGCAAGCATCACTTTAAACAAACAGAACTTTGTTATTCCTGGCTCATTTTTTCCAGATTGAGGTGGCATATGAAAAAGCAGAAAATGTACTTTCTAGAAATGTGAATTTTTCTTCGAAATTCAGATACCACCCACCAAATGACTTTTTGGTTTGCTTTAATCACTCATGCGTGAAATATGCATCATATGAGTCGCATCAAATGAAAGAAGGGGATCTAAGCTTTACAAATATGTGTCATTTATTAATTATAATTGTGATTAAGTTATGATAAAACAACGATAATTTTCGGTTTAGTTTTTTCTGGGTCGCACTGTATATGTTGATTATTTGTAATATACTGTACATAGATTTTAGGGATGGTGGATTTTACCTCTGAATGTTATTAAGTATTTATGTGTGCATGTAATAACCCTCTGATTTCAGCAAATTTCATTAAAGGTGAGGGATCCTTGAAGCAGTGTATAAATTACAGCTGTTTTAGAATACTTACTGCATCATTTAATAATATATTAGTGTATGCATCATTGAATAACCAAAGATTTCAGTATGGTTCAGAAATTAAAGGTCTCTTTATATAGTATATTACATCAGGTACCATTTTTAAAATCAAGTACTGGTAAGACAGCTCCTTATGCTTGACTGTAATTCGTTCTCTTAAAAGTTATGTCCGTAATTTGGGTGCTGTGTAAAGATATGATAAAAGAAAAGTTGATTGCATAAAATCCTTTATAAAACTCGTTTTAAAAACGCAATTCCCTCTATATTTGAGCTAGTATACACGTACTTGTCCCATCCCCTAGCTTTCATAATGGCCATGGTAATATCTGTAAAACACTTAGAGACGTAGATGTGCATTGTATTAAAGCGGAAGTCCACTCTGATATTAACTTTGTTTTAATAGAAGCAGAAAAATGAAAGAAACACGTCAGTGAAATTTCGAGCGAATTCTGATTTGAATGAGAAAGTTAATAATTGTTGAAGTTGCAATCAATCATACACAAATCGGTGACTCTGTGACGTGTCTTGCTAGCTTCCCTCCCATTTGCTCTGTACAAACAAAATTTTATAAATTTTGATTTCTTCGTATTTGATGACGGAATAGATTTGCTCAGGTACGAGTTGTTTATAGAAACATATTTGCAATAATTATATTTTGAGTGCATGTATCATTGAAGCTATGAGAGAAAACAAAAATATCTGATTTTATTTTAGTACAGAGCAAATTGGGTGAGGGAAGCTCGCAAGGTACATCACAAGTTCAACATTCCATAACTTTCTTATTTAAAATCAGAATTTGCTCAAACTTTCACTGACCTGTTCCTCTCATTTTTCTGCTTCTATTAAAACAAACTTCATATTTAGGATGGACTTCCGCATTAAGTGCTATATAAACCCAGAATATTGTTATCATTATCTGATTTTTGTGGTTTTTGTTTTTGCTCAATTGTATAAATTAAACGGATTTTATTTAGCGTCCCAAAATACTAGATATAATTGTTAGAATGTAATATATTATATAAAAATAATGACGAAAAAATCATACCTGTTTTATATCTATCATTAAAGTATTCATTGAAAACTCAGTCAAATTGACTGTTTGTGATCTTTGGTTGTGGGCGTTACGTGTGTTAAGGTCTTAAAGTGTAGCATGGCGTTTAATCTCGATCCGTGTGAACCACAACGAGTTGGCATTACATGTAGCTAGCTGTCTCGAGCTAACTAGCTACCTGCAGCAATGTTTCGCCGAATTCATATAACTAATCAACGTATTCGGGGGGCCTGAGCATCTTCCAAAGTAGGGGAGCACCAACAACAACAAAAATATTTTTCTGGAAAAACGGGGCACTTTTAAAGGGAGAACTCAAAGCGATTTATACCATTTTTCAGTGGCGGATCTACGGGGGGTTGGAGGGTCTGACCCCCCCCCCCCCCTTGGAAAAATGTGATGTAAATAGAAAAACGCCATTATGTGTCCAGACCCACACAGTAATAGTAGATGTTAGTAAATACCAGGAAAACATCACTTACGGGGGTTCAAAGTAGATAGTACGCGGCTCGTGGACGGTGCTCTGCTCTGTTCTGCATCGTCATTGGGTAAGCTCCCCCCCCCCCCCCCCCACTTAGCAAAACGCTAGATCCGCCCCTGTTTGTATGCACTTGTATATAACACAGGGGCGGATCCCGCCGGCGGCAGGGGAGGGGCCCAATTCGTGAAAAAATATTTAGCGGCGAAACAGCTGGCCTGTGAATTAGCGGGGGGGGGTAAGGAGCACTATTATTTATTTTTTTGCCCCCGAAGATTTGAAAATCACACTTGAGCACCAGGAGAGGGGGCCCGTATTCTCCCTTTATACAAATAAGGTAAAATTAACGTGTTTTTACCTGTTCCCCCCCCCCCGGGTCCCCAGTAATTTCAATATTAGGTTCTCTAGATCTTTACACGTGCCCAAGATTCTGCTTAAGCATCATACTTTGTCATAGATTCATTTGCAAGGGAGCGAGCAAAACAAAGCTTGAATTAATAAATGAAAAATGAAAGAATGAACAAAAGAGTGGCTGGTTAGTTGTCTGATTTTTTTAATCACAAAATGTCCCATTTCACGTTCACTATTTCATCACACTTTTTTCAATTCTCCCATGTACTCGTTTTTTTATTTTTCTCTTTGTTTTATCATCAGGCCTGGGGTATGTGAGTGTTATGGTTCCTGCAGCAACCCTAGATTGTTTGTTATTTTAGTGGGTGCATATACCCATGGAATTTATTTGTGAACCTTCAAATCATGAATTGCCGTCGACCACCCCCCCCCCCCCCTGCCTCGAAGAAAAATGTTAAGATTGGGGGGGGAAAAAGGGAACGAGAAGATTTAGGAGACGAAAAAAAGAGAAGAAAGAAACAATAGAAAATGGTATTAAAAAACAAGAGGTAGATTAAGGGAAAAGAACTAAAGACATGGTATCAATGTTATCTTGCTCCTTTCCATTTTTCCTTCGTTTTCCTTTCATGTTTTACTTTTCTTTATGTTTATTTCTTTCTTTTAAGATATTTTTATCTATTTCTTTCTTTCTTCCTTAGTTTCTTTTTCCTCTGTTTCTTTTTTTCACTGAATAAACTACATTGATTTTCCAAATTGAAAGACTAGCTAAAATCTTGATGACAATTCCAGTAACAACAGTTACAGCAGAGCGATCGTTCTCAGCCCTACTTCGTTTAAAGACTAATTTTAGAAGTCAGGGGCGGCGGAGCGACTTCCAAAGTGGGGGGGGGGGCACCAACAAAAAAGGGCATTTCTGGAGAGAAAAGAGGGCACCTACAAAGGGAAATCTCAAGGATATAATTCAGCCTTTTTTGTAGACATTGGTTTATACCCTGACATTGTAATTACATTATAAAGGATTTCAATATTTGTTTCTTTTTGTACATCATACAAGATATTTCTTAAGCATCATAATTTGCAGTTGAGTGTGATGGTCTGGATATTCACTTGCGAACGAGCGAAGCGAGCGCCTAAGTGGGAAAAAAAACATTTGTGAGGTCGCAGTGCGAAAAATTACATCTTATAAAGAGGGAAAAATCCAACCCTGATGGTGGTATGTATTTTCTCAAAACGGAAGATAAGTGAGATAATTATCATCTATAAAGGCGAGAAAGCGTAGCAAGCGAGCTTTGGTGGAAATTGCTCTTAGTCGGTTTAAATTAGGAACACGTTTAATGATAAGAAAAAGAGCGATCACTTATCGAAAGGGATAAGATTAGAAAATTAAAGGAGCACGTGTACAAAGAGTAATTATCAGAAGTGAAAATGGGGCACTTCTTACACCTGAAAAGAGGCACTCACTAGGGATGAAAAAGGACACTTATGATAATGGAAAATGGGCATTTGTCGACGGAAAGGAGAATCCATCAGATTTTGATAGGAGCATTTTTCAGAGGTGAAAGGGGCATTTATCCAACCTGGAAAAGGGCACTAACCAGATATGAAAAGGGGCACTTATAGGAAGGAAAAAGGAAAAAAGGGCAAGGAAAAAAATAAAAGGGGCAGTTATTAGAGGTGAAAAGGGACACTCATCAGAGATGAAAAGAGCACTTATCAGGAGGGGAAGGGGCATTTGTCAAAGTAAAAAAGAGCATCTCTCAGATTTGAAAAGAGGCCAGTATCGGAGGTGAAGCGGGGGCACTCATCTGAAGTAAAAATGAATAACTTCTCGTACCTGAAAGGGGCATTAACCAGAAATGAAAAGGGGCACTTATGAGAATAAAAAGGGACACTTTTCATAGGTGAAAAGGGGCTTTTATGAAAAGGAAAAGGGGCTCTTATCAAAAAGAAAAAGAGGCACATGTTAAAATAAAAGGGGCACTTATCAGAGATGAAAGAGATCTGAGAGTATGTTCTGTTTGTTGTGGCAGGAAAGTCATTCAAAGTTTACAAAAAGCCTTTCAGTGGGAACTGCCAACAAACAATGCATACGTGTGTGTGTGTGTAATACTGTGTATTTATGTTATAGGTAGCTAATGTATTTCGTGTAAAAAAAATACCTTTTTTCTGCGTTCAGAGGTCCCATTGACATGTTATGAGTGATATGCTTAACCTAATGGTTAAACTCAACTTCAGAAGAAAGGCATTGGTCGATAAGTAACTGTTTCTTCAAATTGTATTATGTCAAGCGTTTGATAAGGGGATGTCCACCCTGGAAATAAGTGTGTATGAATAAAAGCAGAAAAATGAGTAGAACACATCACTGAAGGCATGAGAAAAATCGGGAAATAAATAAGGGGGAAATCCAAAACATTTCATGAAAATACTTCGATTCTGTGAGTCAAATTGGCGATGCAATCTTTATGATGCCAACTCCTCACATGACTTGTAATCCTTCGTTGAATGCAAAAAAACAAACTAAACAAAAAACAAAAAAAAATAAAAGACGTTTTTTTCTTCATGCTTATCGCTATCATACATCATGGAAAACGTGAGTTTTAATGCACCCACATATAGGTCTACCATTCCATCAATATTCAGAGTAATGGGGATTTGGGGTAATTTTATCATTCAGACCAGTGGTGGATTGTAAGGATATGGCATCATAATTTTGGACCGCATTGCCAACTTGTCTCAAAGTTTTCATAATGATTATCATGATTTTGAAATATTCTTATAACTTTCTAATTTGTTGTCCGATTTTTCTCTAATTTTTCTGCTTCTATTCCCTGAAACCAACTTATTTTCAGGCAGGACTTATTTAAAGGGTGTTCTTTCCACATGTTTGGAATGAAGTTCTGTCAGTGGCTTTTAATGATTTTGTCATTGTGATCACGACTTTGTCAGGTCATAGAACTAGCTTTGTATTCAGTGAGATCATGGTTTAGATGTCTGGTACAGGTATTATAACAGAAGTACAAATTTAAGGTTTCTTTTAGTTAAAAACTAGAACCATGGCAAGTGTTGAAGGGTGCTATAATGCACATGTTTGGAATAAGAAGAAGAAATTTATAATAATTTGGTCATTTTTATAATGATCTGGTCTGACTCTGAACTCTCAGTGTAGTCAAAACTAGGAACGTGTTCAGATGGGAAAAGATATACATATAGAAAGAACAAAAGGCAGGCTGTTCAAACAAATATCCGATTTTATTGAGCAAATTACAATAACAAAATGTCAGGAAACATAAATTGATGAAACTGGCAATACATAGGCGTAAAATGTGTACATAGTGATGAATGTACACCGTCGCTCATAAAGTTGGAATATTTTAGTTTTACCCCAATTTATGGAATTATTTTTAAAATAATTTAAAAATAATAGATCTAGATAATAGTATACATTCTCAAATTTTATTGAATAATAATTTGCCAATGTGTGTTTTGCGTGACTGCTAAATCATGAGTATGCTACTATGCTTATCTACTAGGGGACCTACGCCCTTAAGTGATAAATGACAGTAATGAGGATTAATGCCCCACAAAATGGCACTAATATAGCACATCGACACGGTTTTGATCCTGGGGCCTCACAGTTACGAGGCCATTGTTTTGTCACCGAACCATGATTGTACGCAGCGGGGGCTAGGGTAGGGGGCAATTTCCATAAATAAAAAAAAAACAGAAAATGCAATACATTTTTAATAATTTATTGCATTTTACCCCGGTCCCCAACATAAACAAAATCCTCTGGGCGGCCACGCATTATGGCTCAAGGTATGGGCACACAGAGGATTGTTTTATGTTGGGGACCGGGGTAAAATGCAATAAATAAATGAAAATTTATTGCATTTTCTTTTCTTTTTTTTAATTATTATTATTTTGGGGGGGGCGAAAATCCGCATCACCACCACTCTTACATGTTACGCAGGCCCTGGCAACATTTTTCAAAGTGGGGAGGGGGGGCTAAAGTATTTAAAATCAGATAGAGTAAAGTAAGTGAAGCAAGTACAGCGTAAATTGGCGTGGGGTCCAGGGGCAAAGCCTCGGCGGAGGGAGGGGTCAAGGGGCGGAGCCCCATGAAACTCCGGGTTTTAGACATTTAATTACGGTCAGATGAGCATATTTTGATACTTTATTTGTGACATGCACTGACATGCACTGACATGCAGGTCACTAATTGGAGTGGGGTCAAGGGGGCGGAACCCTAGAAGCTCACGGGTTTTAGGCATTAAATTACGATCAGATGAGCACCGAGGGGCCGTCTTAGGGCCCTTGGTGAGGTCCAGGGGCAGAGCCCCCGAAGCTCAGGCATTTTAGGCTTTTAATTACGGTCAGATGAGCAACCAGGGGCCCGTCTTAGGGTCCTAATTGGTAGGGTCCAGGGAAGCTCAGGAAAAAATACCATTTCAGCAACATTTGTAAATCACCGGTATCGAATTAGAAATAAGCCACGTTTGAAGAAAAAAAAATTTGGAGGGGAAACTTCCCCCAAGTCCCCCCCCCCCCCCCCCTTCCCCCCATCAATACGCAAGTGCGAGGGAGTATTGTGAATGAGAGGGATGAAGGTGACGGAAGTGACCACCACCTTAATTACAGGTTTTTGAAGTTTTGGTTAAAAAAAATTACATTCTTTAGCAAAACTATAGTATAAAAAACAAGTAATATACTTTTTTCACACTTCAATTTTCTCGGTATTTACTCGTACATATTTGAAGGATATTATGCGTGGGAGCGTAGCTCTCGAGTGGGAAGATTTTTGCATTTTTAATTGTCTAAACGCTGCACTCTTGGGCCCTACAGAGCCTCAAAGTGTGTTGCAGTCTTTAGTCAGTATTTGTTATACATTTTTTGTGGCACTTTTTCAAATTTTGAGGGGGGACGATCCCCCCCCCCCCCCCTACTCTTGAGGGGGGACGTACCCCCCCCCCCCCCACCCACACACACACATACACACAAGAGCGACCCCGTCGGTACCAAATACACACACTCATAGTATGTTGTTACGTTACAAATCTTTCTCTTTTCAATTTCTTAGTAGACCCTACAGTGAATAATTTATTTTACCAAAACTACAAACGAAAGCCGAGTCTAGAAAATAAAAACCCTCACGCCCTCTAGCTCTACGTTGAAGATATGCGCTGGTAAAAATCTACGTCTTGTGTAAAAAGAAGGGCTGTGTAAAGACCGACAAATAAGTAAGAAATATAAAGTTTTAAGTATTTTATGAGTAAGTAATCTTCGAAATCTGGTGCACTGAAACATGTATAAACCTATTGTTAACATTTTATCACTAAAATTTGGTCAAAATTTACAATTGAGTTGGAATTCCATCTAACGTCGCGTCGTGTGTTTGCTCATCTACTGCGGACGTGCATGCATGTTCAGTCACTCGACCTCGGGTCTACTCTTCCTGACGTTGGGGAGCCGGTAACTCCGGGAAGCTCCAACACCGGCGCCGCGGGCGTCGGAGCTTCGGGTGGTTTTGTTGGTTTCTCGTGGGGGCTAGTAAAACAGCCGTTGGGTGATATTATCGTTAAATCTGCAAGGGTAGTACTTGCAATTTTTACATCATAGGGTGCACGACTCCTCAGGGCTCAACTCCAATCACTTGAATGTATAATTTGAAGAAGTCTTTGATGGGGAAAAAAAGGTTAATTCCGGGTACTACACCAACGATTCTTCCATGTCGCAGCGTTGATTCAAAATAGCGATGAGAAGGTACGCATGCGCGGCAGTGGCGAAGAAAATATGAACATTCATGCTATCGAGCGCCGATCGCTCGAAATCGCTGAATATGCACGAAGTTGAGAAGGGCTCTGTTTGTTCAAGTCGTGCATATTCAGCGATTTCGAGCGATGAGCTTAACACGATTGTTCGATTTTGTAGTACCAATCATCTTTTCAACTAAATCTTCATCAATTGTTCGAAAAGCCTAATGGTCATGATTTAAAAGTTGTTATGTTTGTTAGACCTACCTGTTTTGTGTCAATTTTCTTATACCTTGAATACCTTGAATATCAAAGCTTCTGGAAGAAAGCCGTCTCCAGCTGCCAAGCTTCCAGGTCTAACTTCAAGGGGGGGGGGGGATGTCCCAGCTTCTGGGTCTTGCACCATAGTCGTTTTACATCTGTATCTTGCTTGCTGGGTCATATCAGGAATGTCATAATTGGAGTGTCTACTGGGAGAAGGGTGATTATATTGCTCCTTCTTCCAGTGTTTGTCAAGTCTGGCTTTAAAGCTGTTTACCGAGGTTATCTTTTTATTGAGTATTTTTCTGAAAAACTAAGGCATTAAATAACTCTTTCTCACAGGTTTCACAGCAAACCGCTGCACAATTCAAATTGCATACAGTACTGGCAGTGGGCACGCGCCTGTGTGAAGTTAGCGATTGTAATCTCAGATCCTCATTAAATTTATGTACTGGAGGTAGTTCACATTATGATGATGATCATCATCATTACGGTTGCTAACTTATTGTGCGCGTCCCCGCACCCCATCTTAGGTATGGTATGTAATTGTATTGTGCAGCGGTTTGCCATGAAACCTGTGAGAAAGTGTATGTTATAATCATATAATGTCTTTGTTTTTTAGAAGAAAAAAAAAGATAAGAAAATTGACATGAAACAGGAAAGATACTTAACGACTGTTAAATCATGACCATTATTTGAACAATTGATTGATGTTTATTGGTATGTTATACAACTTACATGTATATTTAGTAGAGTATCTCTACACCGGAGTCACAAGATATGGAGCTTACAGCCGATATAGCAAAAAAAGTAAACCCTCAAATATATGATAATTACATAATTTGCAAGTCAAATTATCACTCAATCACTTGGTATCACTTTACAATTTCAATGACATCTTCTCTCGATATGAAGATTACTAGACCCTTGTCGAAATTTGCCGATCTTTGTCAATATTTTCAGAATTTAAAACCCAATTCCAAAAATGCTTTAGTCTCTGGGCAGTATTTGGTGCCTCTTTCCATTGATAGTGTCAGATTTTCGAAATCTTAATGATTTTTTTTAATATGGAATTGTTCGCAAATTAAGGTCATGCAGGAACTATGGTCACACCACCATGCATTCCTGCCTGCCTATTCCCTGCATACTCGCCCGAAACCTTAATTTCCACAAAATGTATTCACTTCTAAGATGTATAATTGCCACCACTTATTGTTATAATGTACAGTATACTGTGTCTCAAACATTTTATTCAATTCAGTTTTTGGAATAAAATATACATTTTTCAGAAGAAAAAAAAACCCATTTTCAATACTTATCTCTCCGACTCGTGCTGGGTTGCCGACCAACACAAAATGTGTAAATTTGGAAAAGAATAGAATAGAAAAATCTGCTAAGGCTTAGCTGTACTACTAGATGTCATTGAGTGTAGTACCGGTATGCAATTTTAAGGGCCACCATACATGTTAGACATAGCCTTGATACATGGAGGCTGTGCATACATGTGCATGACGGCCAGGCATCTGCAGCACTGCATAACGTAGAGCTAGCAGTGTCATTATGACAAAGACCGTAACTCAGCTTATTTCATCCTGCATTCCCTCCTGTTGTCCAGACCAATCATGTTGCAGCAGGTTTTACGTATTGGAAGCCAGGCCAGGCCAGCCCTGACGGTGATCGTGAGGCGTAACCTAGGAGCCAGCAGTGTCGTCATGGCCAAGACCAAAGCAGCAGCAGGACCTACAGACCCAGTACAGAAGCTCTTTGTGGATAAGATCAGGGACTACAGTAACAAGAAGAAGTAAGTGCTGACCAGGTTACTGTTACAGATCATTATGCAGCTGGCAGATGGGAGTAAGCACGTTCCACTTTTCAGCTAAATACAGACATGTACTAAGGTGCTAAAGCAGTACATGTAGTTCATAAGCATTAAAGGCATTGTTTAACAATGTTAAATGTGAGATGCATGGCCCAACGTGTCTGTGATATGGTGAAATACTGAAGCCCTAAAAAAAATTGCGCTACAAAATGATCATGAAATTCCTAAAAAATAAAGAATCTTTGAGTGACTGGTTTTACTCTACACATTTTCCCAAATAAACTGTAGTGTTATAAAAACCATTAGGAAAACAGAAAAATGAAATTTTGATTTCCAATCACTAATATCTTGATAATCAGACAGACGATCGGCTTGTAAAAGCCATGGAGTTCCTGACTGACCTAAACGTTTATAATTATCATCGCAGCATGATCTAAATCCAGGATGTTGTTTCAGAAAATGAGACAAAGCTACCCAATTTAAGATGCCCTTAACTAGGTGAAGCCTTTGTTAAATACTTTAGATCTATGCTTTAATATTTCACATTTATATCAAGAAAAATAAATCAGGACCATTCAACTTTTCACAAACTTAAAGAAAAACTGTATATATATATATATATATATATATATATATTTGTGTTGCTATTGTACTTTATTTTGTTGTCATGATTTCCTGTATTAATTGTCAATTAAATGATGTGGATTTAACAGGAAAAAATACGTAACATCTTTCCCAAGAAATGGCCGTGTTGTATGTTTAATGAGTGACTAGTAATCCTACCTTTGATGTTGTGTTCTTGCAGGTCAGCTGGTGGTAAATTGGTCGACTCTGATCCACAGACCGAGAAAGAGATGGCAACAGAGATAGGAAAGCTTAACAAGATGTTTGGAGGTGGAGACATGACACAATTCCCCACATTTGAATTTAAAGGTGAGATCTTCTCTGATCCTTAAAGGCATTGTTTAACAATGTTTCCAGTGTTACAAATCTGAGATGCATGGCCCTATGTGTTATTAGTAGTGTCTGTGATATGGTGTAATATTGAAGCGCTAAGACAATTGAGCTTCAAAATGATCATGAAGTGCTTCAAAAAGTAAAAATCTTTGAGTGACCGGTTTTACCATACTCATTCATTGTCCACAATAGACTGTAGTCTTATAAAAACTTTAGGAAAACAGTTTTTGAAATTTCAAATACCAATCATAAATATCTTGATAATCAGACAGGTGATCGGCTTGTAAAAGTCATGGGGTTCCTGACTGACATAAGGTTGATAATTATCATTGCAGCATGAGCTAAATCTAGGGTTTTTGTTTCAGAATCTGAGACAAAGATACCCATATAAACAGTGATGATGATGATGATGAGGTTTGATAGATACATATATGTGTAAATTGCAAGGGCCATGTTCGGTAACATTTTTCAAGGAATAGTCTGCTTATTACAAATTCCTATAGTGTCTGCACTACAGTAAAATTTATTTGGAGAAATGGAAAATGAAGAGTTTTCCGTCATTACTGCAAATGCTTGACATGGCCCAAAGAGTGTAGCTCCATAATGGTCGGAAATGGTTCAGGCAAATTTTTCTTCATTTTGTCAAAGAGTCGGGGGGGGGGTAGTGCTCGGCATTTACAGGGGGTTGGGGATAGTGTTACAGATATTTACAGCCATCATTATGGGTTAGGTTTGGTATAGTGTTGGGTCCATAGTTAAATGTAGGAATTTGACTAGATTTAGAAATGAAGTCTAGGGCAGCAGTCACTAGAACATAATGATTTGTAAGGTTATACATGTAGAAGAATATGCCTCCTTGACATGTGCCATCAAAAAGCATATAGACTATAGCCAAAGTGCTTAGAGTGATGAAATGCTGCTGGTAGTTTTAGAAAACAAAAATTAAATTAAATTATCAGTGTGAGGTATAGTGAAGAAAAATAAGAATTGACTCTCGCAAGAACAACAAAGACTAAAAAAAAATTATGGTACCATAGAATCCAAATGTTTGTAATCAAATACTAAATTTCTTTTTTAAAGAGATAATTCTTTTTTACCCATTTTTGTTTCTTTGTCTACGTAGATACCAGTTTGAAACCGCATTTTAGATCATCTTTCTTTTGTCTTTTCTTCTCTCTTTAGATATCGACTTCGGAGCAGAAGAGAAGAAATGATGAGGGACCATCCTGTACAGACAGACACACACACAGTGGAATCTATGAAGGCCAATCTTCACCAATAATTGTGCAGTGAATTCCAATTATTACACAGATAACCATAGGCCCCTCTCGCTCTTGTATAAGCAAAAATAATTCATACGTTATATGGCAGTGGCATCGTATCAAACTTTAAATACGTGTATTTTTATTTGTGATTTTATCAAGATGACATGTAGAGGGCTACAAGAGCACTGAACTTGTCTTAAGAAATGACCATACTGGTAATAATAATAATAGTGGGTTCTTGTATAGCGCTCATGTCTGTCAGACTTGACACTCTTGGCGCTCCAGATTACAGGTTTATATACAATATCTCTTGATCACGTATTGTGGGGGTATCTATTCATACATGATCACCAAATTGCACCATTGAGGTGAACAAACGGGGTTGGGGATTGATGCCACTGTTATCATTGAGGATAGATTCATGCCATGGTTTTAGTATCAGAGAGTGTTATGTTGTATATTGGAATTTATACATGTGGAGATATATTAACAATACACTGAAATTCAGTGTTTAAAAAATGTCCTATTAACTTCACTCGTATGACTGTTTTGTGTGTTTTCGAGTATTTTAGGGGTTACATTAACTCAACATGAGTAAAGTCTGTAGGGACGGCAAAAAATAGTTTGGCTTTTCCCAAATTTGACTTGTTTTGCATAATTGGGGGGGGGGGGTAATTGCTTTAACTTAGGAAAAATTGACTTTTGTAACTTTGAGTTATGCAGAATAAACTGTATTTTCTCTGAGTTGTCTTGAGCTAATTCTGCCTTTTACACCATGAGGCTTGCTGTGGATATTTAAACCGATTTGCTCTAAGGAAAGTTATAATAGCTTTCTGGGATACCCTTTTTTGGAAAGGAGCAATGGATTGCAACTCCAATTGTCAACTGCCACTTCAATTTCAACCAATCAGAATTTCATATTTGGAAATTGCATTTGACTTTTGGAGTTGTATCTACTGTGATCTCATCTGTCATTACACAAGAGAACACCGATGTAATGAAAGTTACACACACAACATATTCCCATAAGAGAGTGTGATGTGTGAAGTTCATGGTTTTGACTTGAATGGATGCAAGTGTTTGTTGATGTTGATGATTGCAAGTGACAGTTTCTTGAATGCAAGACATTGCTGGTCTCAGCAATAGAAAGGTTTTCCTTGATTACCTTGTCACAAACTCAAATGTACATCACAGTACATGTACTCAACATTATTTTTTTGTTTTTCTCTGATTGGGGCGGTGTTTCTCTGAATAAAGAAATTGAATGGATAGGAGATGAATAAAGAGATGGCTTAAAGTGTACCAATCATCTCAAAATTATTTGAGTAAAAAAAAAAATGGGTAAAATCAACCAAAATAAGATTTATCTGGCATTAAAGAATAACATACACCCAACACACAGAACCCAAGTTTGACTTGGGTTCCATGCAAGCCTTTTCAATGCAAGCGTGTACAGGTTTGTCTACTGTCTACTCACAAGTTTCTTTCTTTTAATTGAGATTGTATTTAAAATTGCAATATATCTTTATAGAAGTAATATATGGAACTCGCATCTCGTTCATTCATGAAAGAGAGTGACGTGTGCAAAATATTTCCGGTGAATGGTACACTTTAAAAGGTGTATATGCTGCTGGTAGATGTATGCCAACAAAAATGATAACACGAGAGAATTCCTTCAAATAGGACAAATTTCTTTAATTCTTGATCTAAAGTACACATCACAAATATGACATCCAAGCATGTTGAATTTCCTCATTTGAAACTATGTTCATCAGAGGATAAAACATCCCAAAATCACCAAAACAATCCAAGAAAAATATGGTATATCACGATGCTTATCATGATTAATATAAGAAATATATAGTACATATTAGCGATGGGTGGTATCAGAAAGTCCTGGTCTGTACAATGTCTTGAATTGCAAAATCTGAATCATGATTTGAATATCAAACCTTGGTAACGTTCCTCAGTCTCTGCAGTAAAGGTCAATTTCTTCTTTTCACTCAAAATAAAATAAAAATCTAAGCAAACTATGTTCAATAGTTATAAATGCCATGAACTTAAATACATGTATGTCACATCTTCATATAATACAACTTAATATGACATATAAACCAGCTGGTAAAAATATTCAAATATCCATTCACCTTGCCTCATGAAATAATTGTTTACATGCTTCAAATATACTCTTCTGTAATAGTTGAGCCACAAGCAAATGGTTGAAATCCGTTCAAGAAATATAAATTTGCCAAAGTTTCTTCTTCTTCTGTACAGCCTTGAACAATCCACATGAAATTTCCATGCATATTCCTTGCTAACATGCACATTTTTGGTTTTAACATATAACTGTAAAAACAAAAGAAAATCACATTTCTTTTCCCAATAACATTATATTTTCATGGTACAATATAAAGCATTGCTCATTGAATGACCTCTCACAACTGCAGAATAAAGAAATCAACCAATTCTCATGCTGTATCAGTGAAATTGGATTAAAAATGTATATCTGATTGCTCAATATGTACACTTTAGGACCAGACAATGACTTTAAAGGACTATATATGAAGTAAATTAACTGAATTCTTCCTGATGGTCAAATTAATAGGAATTCCCAAAATTGCAGGATTTTTTTCCGTGTTTTTAGCCTTCCAGTCTGAGGGAAGATTGGCTCAGTCAGTAAGGCAGGCCTCTGCCTGTAGAACCAAAGACCCTGGTCCAATTGCAGCCCAGACAGATGACCCAAGTCTGCATTGTGGCTTAACGTGCCCCTCCCCATATTAGTGGCATGTGAGAGAATCATCATCTATGCACGTTAAGGATCTACTGCACCACACATGTGTTTGAATAAGAGTAGGGGGAAAACCCTGGTGTAGTGGTCAACCTGCAGTAATATTGGGAGGGGAGACCCAAGGGTCGCAGTGTTTCAGTTTGCTATTCCCCTCCCAGACACAGCTGACGCCAAATACTTGAACATGTATTAGTTGATGACTCGCAAAAATACAGCCTTTTCTCGGATTGGAAGGCTTGATATATCCCACAATTTGATAATGGTATCAAAGGACTTACAGAACCTCAATCATGACATATTTATATTTTGAACATTTTCATATAATGTAATTTCTTCAAAAATCTAGTCATTGTGTTGCAATGTGTGGAATCATGCACAGCAGATTTCACTCTTTGAAAGATAGGCCTACGTACATGTACAACAAATAATCTTTACCTTTAAAAATCATACACAATTTTAATGAGAAGGAAATAAGTACTTTAAACCTTTCAGTAATACTCCTGATTGAAAACATAAAAAACATCCTTGAATTAAGTTAAAAATCCAATATTGAGGTGATATCCCTGATAAGTACACACATATTCCTTGTTAGAAGAAATAGAAGACCGTCAATACTACTGGGCCAGAAGGGATTAGACCACAAAGCGAGGTCACTGACAGGTGGCTATCTCATTAACTCAGCTCTCAACTAACATAAGAAATAGAGGATCATGGGGGACCAACAGGCACCGATTGAGGAAGTTTTCTATATAGAGGGAACAAGTAGCTACAAGTAGGACAGTGGGGCTTTAAAATCGTGTTAATTCAACCCCTATATAAACAGATTCCCATTATTCCATGCAATATAACATGACACATAAATGAAGGATAAAGACATAAGCGAGACAACCAATGAAAGAAAGGCATGATTATATCTACTAAGAAAGTTCTGAACTTAAATAATTTGATGCAGACCATCTTTGATTTGGTTGGGAGTGAATTATAATAGGGACTTTTTTATTTGCACGTCGACATAGTGGACTGTTACGTGTGACGTCCTTTTAAGGCACTGGCAGTGCCTCAAAAGGAAGTCACATTGTCTTAAAAGGACGTCACACGTAGCAGTCCACTATGTCTATGTGCAAATCTAAAAGTCCCTATTCTCTGCATAGAGAGAAAAGAATGAAGTTGAACTGCTCAATAACACACTACCAAAATTATCACTATTGCACAAGAAAGAAATAATCAATATACAGATAACATCATAGCGTCTCTTCAAGTATCATCATGATCGACCAGAATTAGACTCAAATCCACAAATAATTTGCAAAGCCAATAACAGAGCAAATTGTGAATAATTAAATTTTTCAAAATGGATGTTACAGAAAACAAATTGTTGAATGTCACGTGATAGTAGCTTCTCAGCTAATAGGATGTTCTCTACTTATACCCTATTCTAAATGGCTTGCTACTTTAGGGAGTTCTACTTGAGTAGATGAAAATTGTTTTATAACATAGTGAAACTAGGAATCTCTACTTTAAACAATAAATACATAACTTATGTATGGTTTGGAACTGATGGGTCTTAATTGTAAATCTCTAAAGTAAATGAAAATTTCAATTTTCTTCTGTTAGATGATGGGTATTACTACAAGAAATAGTAAAATGAACAAGAGACTCAACAGTGAAGATCAACGCCAAACAATTCACCTACATCGATCGAGAAGAACCAACACTTACACAGTATCAACCAAGCAAGGTTAAGATATTGAAAGTATCTCTTCAAGCAAATATAGCCCAATCAGACGATTGATATACACTCAGCAAAAAAATCACAACGCCATCTTTGATTCCGGCAACCAAAGAGCTCAGTACATTCCAGGAATAAATCCTACCAGGTACCCAGTTACTACACCTACATGTAGGTCGAGAGTGGCAAATGTAGATTAATGTCTTGCCAAAGAAAATGGCAGGGAATCTGTACCTTGTGATCGACAGTACGGTTATTATCCCCTAGACCATAACACCTCCACTTAGGTATGAAATAATAATAATAATGATAATATTCTGCTTATATAGCGCTTAATACAATGTCTCTAAGTGCTTTACATATATATTATTACCTGGTCATTGGATTCAGTGCTTGCCCCCACACGCTGTGTGCACAATCTCCACTCCCAGGGGAGCATTCCGGCCAGGTGTTACTTGACACTCAAAAACTGTTTGACCAACAATGACGATTGCATCCTACCGGGTACCTATTTAACACCTAGGTGGAGAGTAGCAAGTGCAGGTTAATGTCTTGCCAAAGGATATTAGTGTCAGGATTTGAACCCTTGACCTTCGCATCTCCAGTCAAGCGCCAAGAGATTGGTCCATTTGAAATCATTTTAACCCTCAGCAGGTGATACTGAACTGCTACGGATTTAAACCAAACAAAACCCGGCTCTCCTTGACTAATACCATTCATCCATTCTTGTGGCTTGTGGCATCTCTTTCTATTGAAAACAAATTGCAAACTGACAATAACAAATGTAAAAGATTAAAGCCATGAAAAAGAAGTTTGCTAGGATGTTGTGCACTGTGATGTGAAAGCTATGATAAGCCATGCAATGAAAAATAAATGTCCAAGGCTTATAAAACAGACTATTCCTTGAATAAATAGTTACATGAAGCCATGTAAATATAAGCCTTTTCATAGGGTGTAGTGCACTGTGCTGTAGACAGAGCATAGCTGCATGCATACATGGTGAATCTGTTTTGTTTTCCTAGGATGTTGCGCACTGTGCTGTAGGAAGATCTTCACTAGATTCACTTGTTTCATCAGAATCACTGCTATCTAGATCACCAGCCTCCCTTGCCTGTGATACAAAACAAAAACACAGTGTTTCACTGAAACATGTATAAATTCATTATTCTGCATAGGGATATCATGTTAAAATGACACTGACAAGCTTTGGCTATGGAAAGCCTAAGAAGAAATCTTGTTAACAAATAAATTAAACAAATTAAATAATAAATAATTGAAAATCATAATATAAAATGTTGGGGAAATTTCACTTTTTAGCAGTGAAACCCAAAGAGCAACTGGGAACCAAATTCTGAGTCCACCATAGTACAAACAAAACATAATTCCTTGTACCCTATGCATCTTCAATATCCTGTGTGGAAAAAATTAGTGTAAAATTATTATCCATGAAGAAGGTGACTTAGCCCCAAGGGACAGCAAAAGAACCATAGCACCAATAACTATAGTTTCCCACTGTAAAGCAGAGTATAAACTTATCAACCCATATATTAATTATATGCAGGCTTCTGAAGTTGTTATTACTCTTTATGATAATGTGTTTAAATCAGTTATTCAAATCAAATTACTGAAATCAAAGTAACCAATTCGCTTTTATAAAATATCATAATGTAGACTGGTGATTGATTTTAGGAGATAAAACCTGACAAGCTCATGTACTGTGGTGAGAGGGAGAAGGGCTCAATGATGTGGGTGATTGTTACCTGTCTCCTGGCTCTGTGTCTAAGATGAGCCATGAGAAACCTGAGCATGGCATTATCTTCAAACTCTGGTCCTCTCACACGTTCCTCTTCACGTTCCCTTCTGTTTGTCATCATCAGCTGTAGGATACAAGAGGAGAAGACGGTTATGTTATTTTCAGACACACAATGTTATTTAAGTACATGCATTGCTTGGTATTCATACAGCAGTCTTTATCTTTATGTTTCATACAAGGTTAATATTATATGACTGATCTCAATCCCTCACAGCTCTACCTTTTTCAAACTACAGTCAAACCTCCAAATCTATAAAGCAGGGATGCCAGTTAGAATTGATCAGAGGGCCTGAAAATCACCTTGGATGAGCTATTTTGTACACACAAAAAAAACTTAACTATATGAAAACAAATTGCAAGGGCCTAAATTCAGGCTTTTGTCTGAAAACTGCCATCCCTGATAAAGACCACATTTTTTGTTTCCTTTGAAAATGAGTTCTCGTTGAAACATGTACTAAGGGAAACTATATATATATAGCACCTGGCTTTAAAGACCACTTTTCTTGTCTCCCTTGGGTGGTCTTTATAGACAGGTTTCACTGTACCATGTATTCTTCTATTTAAAGAGTACTTCAATACCAATCATCAGAATATGTTATGCACTTGATGCATGGGCTTCCGTGTCACTATACTATATTCCAAATACCAGCTTCAAATATCACTTATACAGAGATTTTGCAATTTATATACTCGCAGTAAATAGTAGAATGACTTAATGAGTAGACTAGTTGACACACGGTTGGGTGCTCCATAGAATAGGGTTCACACACAACACAAGTCGGACTATGTCCCGTATTATATTATCCTTTATTCTCTGCATACTCCCTAACTGTTAACCTACAGAATGCCAGCCTAACTTTTTTTTTTGTCTCTTTCAAAGAAAAACCATTCTAGCTGTATACAAATTATCTATTTAGGCGATTTGTACAATTTAACTACATTGTTAAGTTCACAATAATAGCATTGACCACATTGAACCAAACGCAAGAGTAACCCATCAATCCTCTAATAATGTCACACATCTTCCCCCTCACCTTCTTTAGACCATCCAACGGAGTCGGCTCATTCCTCGTCGGAAGCCACACCTTCACATCATGATCCAACCCACTGGTTGCTAGGCAAGGCAGTAAGGGGTGGGGCTCCAGGCAGTTGACCACGCCCCCTACATCCCCCTGCATGTACTGGACTATCTTCTCACTCTCCTTCTCCCACAGAAAGATGTTACCACAGTCGCTACCAGAGACGATGTACTCACTCTTGGGACCGTAGAAGTTGACTCCTTTGACTGAGGCAAGGAAAAATGGAAAGAGTATATTTCATGGGTGATAGTGAGCACTGAAACTACCCCCCTCCTTGAGTAAAAACCAAAAAAAGGATTCAGGGGGGGGGGGGAAATGGTATCTAACAACATTCCCGCCCTTTTGAGTGAGAAAATTGGGGAAAATGAAAGACAAATTGGGAAAATCAGCAAAAAATCTGGAAAAGTGGGTTAAAAGCGGGAGGAAGAAGAAAATAAAAAATAAAAATTGGGGAAAATAAAATAAAAATTGGGGGGAAAAAAAATCAAAAAAATCAGGAAACCGATTTAAATTGGGTAATTATCAGGCCTGATATTTGTTAATTGGTCATGCTTCTACTGATTTATGATCCATTGAATGTACCCAAAGGGTGCCTCTTTCAGACAGGTTTATTGCCCCATCTAAGTTAAGATTTATTGCTATCATTGTTACTATTATCATTATTATTATCATCAATGTTATCATTATCAATATTATCATTATCATTATTATTTTTGTTTTATTGTTATTATTAATATTATTATTATTATCGTCATTATTATCATCATCATCATCCTCATCCTCATCCTCATCCTCATCCTCACCATCCTCACCATCATCATCATCATCATCATCATCATCCTCATCATCCTCATCCTCATCCTCATCCTCATCCTCATCATCATCATCATTATTGTTTTGATAATTAAATTATTTTCATTACCTGTGGCATTATTGCGATGGCCCCTGTACGCATGGGTGAAGTCAGCTCCGTCGCTATGGGAACTATCAAACAGATAAATGTCCTCATCATTGTAGCTTGCTAAGATTTCTGAAATTAAATCAAATAGACAAAATATGAACAGAACAGTACTTACCACGTAATAATGTATAGAGCTCAACATTCTCCAGTTTTTAAAATCTTAGGGTAACAAAACCTGTGATTTAAACCAACAGCTGGAAAAGTATGGGCAACATAAGATGGTGTTTGGAAAAGTAAATGCAGATTTGCTTCTTGTGATATATATAATGTGCCTTCTTTTTCTTTTCTTGTTATTTCACACTCTAAGGCAAAACAATGATCAATAAAACTTTCAGTCACAAAATACCCAAATATCCCCCCCCCCCCCATAATTTTTTTTTTTTTAAACAAGACATATACCGGTATATATTATCCATCAAGTTCATACAACAGAATTGCTATGGAGACCTTTTACCTTGAGGAAACCAGTGAAATCTAAAGGAAATACCTTGTTCCTGAAACAGTGAAACTAAATCCAAATTCTTGACAGTGATATACGGTACATGTATTCCACACACATTATTCATGAACTATCTATAGTTTTCTTAGCAACAACTTCCACTACACAGAAATCTTTAACAAAAATCATGATAAATATCAATACAGAAGACCAAGAAACACAAGTCAGATTTACATAATGATGGCTGGATTACGAGTACAAAAAAGGCCAAAGAAGGAGCTACAGGACAACTGTGGCTGTGCTGAGTTGTTGATACAACCTGATAAATGTCTTCCAAATGATCCAAACAGAAATTCTTGCCTTCCACTTCTGCTCCCTGATGCTCTTTTCTCAAACCCCTTCACATACTTACCCCAGCCCTTGGAATAAAAACCTTGAATGACTCGTCTTTTAGTTGATCTTGATAAAAACATCTTACTGCAACCCATCCTTCTAAATGCTCCCTAGTGCACCCTTCTCATCCCCGTCCCTTATTTACCTTGTTAAATTTACATGATGTAACATTTCAAATTTGTTTGTTTATTCTATGAACCCAAGCAGTGTTTTTTATATGTTTGAAGTACCAGGCTTAATTAGCATTCATGCTACTGTCTGGTTCCTTTTATTCTGATATGTTATTGTATAAATTGTTTATACATATTGTTAAAGGTAATACAAAGTTTTAGGAAATTTTGACAATTGGGTGTATAGTGATTCTTTACAATTTTGATATATTTGGATGCCCCTGTGGATGTATTATAAGCACTCGAAAATTTAGCCCCTGAAACACTCCTGCTTTCGAGAAAAATTTAATATAAAAATTTACCGGTGCTCCCGGTAAATTTTGATAAATTTCAAAAAGCGCCTACGGCCGTACAATGGTACATGTAGCTGCGACCATGAAAATCTCAGAATATGTAGTTGTTATATATATAATTTCTAAACGGGAATAGCTCATCGGTCGATTTTAATCAAGAAATATTGTTTTACAGCTTAATTAATATCTTGACCTAGAGAGGGAGCTATACAACATAAAGAGTTTATTATTAACAATTTCATAACTTTAGACTTGATTTTAACCGCGACAACGATCACTGCATATTGTAGGATCGCATATGCTTCCAATATGTTCATTTGAACCAAAGTCATGACCCCATACCAAAACTTTGTATTATCTTTAAGTGTTTATTACTGGATAATAAAATTCAAGTTCAAGTTCAGTTAATTACAACATTTTGCATTTGTACCTACCCATTAGGCTCCCTACTGCACCCTTTCCCCAAACTTACCCTGTCCATTGTAAGAGTAGAGGCAGCATGTAACATTGGCCTTCACTTGGTCATTATCCTTTAAAGAGTCGGGACAAAACTTCTTCCCATGCCACCTTTGCCTTCAACTTCTGCTCCCTAATGCACTTTTCTCTACCCCCTCCCCACACTTACCCTAGCCCTCGTGATAAGAGCCTTTATGTGTGTGTGTGTGTGTGTGTGTGTGTAATTGGGTTTTTAAAGATGTTTATCAATCAGATATGATTATTTACGCCGACCTTTAACGTCACCATCCGAAAGACGTTAAGCCTTGATCGATTCCTTGTCTTTTAGTTGATCTTGATAAAACATTTCACTGCAACCCATTCCCCCTCCTTCTTTCTAATTTCTGGTGCACCCTTCCCATCCCCCTCCCTCACTTACCCTGTTCAATGTAGGAGTATTTCACGTCCAACTTACCCTGTCCATTGTAAGAGTAGAGGCAGCATGTAACATTGGCCTTCACTTGATCATTATCCTTTAAAGAGTCTGGACAAAACTTCTTCATCACGCCAGAGTTCTCATCATCTGTTATCTTGCGTTTATCATAAACCCTGCACAAAGCCAAACAAAATAACTTTGTCACTTCTTGTAATAAAAGGAATTTCTACTAACAATCAGGCCTATATTCTGAAGAAGAAAACAAATTAAGTTTGGGAAAAAATATTTTAATTGTCACAACAAACTGGAGGTATAAACACATATTTCTGGTGCGTGTGCATATGTTTCTTCTAACTACATGCATAGACAGCCAGCTTTGTGCAAACACAAACCAATGGCTTGCCATAGTTTTGATTTGTTACGCAAATTAAGATTATTTAATTAATGCAAAAGATTACCGGTACATGTTTTTCAGTACACCACCATAGGTTCATTATTTGTTTAATCTGTCATGTGATCATGTCTCATTGTTCAAATGCAAGAAGACAAAAAGCATCTAAAACAAATTGGATTAAACAAGAGGAAAAAGGGAAAGGCAAATGGAATCCACTGTACTTACTATCAATGAGATGTAATCTAGATAATAGTAACCTACAAAAAAAGGTTTAAGAATTGATGACAGCTGATGATTTCATAATAAAGTCAAACCTGCTTAGTGACCACATGTTTACAAAGGCCACCTGTCTACAAAGACCACATTTTTTGTTTCCCTTGAAAATGGTTTCTCATTGAAACATGAACTAAAGGAACCTGTACATAAAGACCACTTTTCTTGTCTCCCTTGGGTGGTCTTTATAGACAGGTTTCACTGTAACAAGATAACATACACTACAATATAATGGTGTTTATGTTATGGGTCCACCCCAACTTCAGCCTACTAGCTTTACAAGGTGCTACACCTTCTACATAACTTCATGTCTATAAACCGGTACCTCCACTAAAATTGAATCAATATGAAAATGGTTGGAAGTCTTACTGATTACTACAACAATCAAAAAGCTATAATGGAACAATGAAAAACATCTAAGTGACACTTGAGTTATTATACTCCGATGTGACCTAATTTAAGATGTGATTACAACAGAAAAAGACAGAAATTTACAGAAAACAGGAAAGACAGGAAGATATTGAGATGTTTTTAACACGTTTTAATTTGTTAGTATACAAGTCATTTTATGCATTTGTAAAAAATAATATGGGAAATGTTATATTACCTTACATACTGGTCTCTGCCACCCACAATGAACTCGTTGATGTTGGATGGATTGACATATACGGTGTATAAGGCAACTTTCCTGTCGTTCTCCTTCACTACCATCAGCCTGAAAGTGAATCAAACACAGGATCAATTAATAATATTAAATTGACAAGGTTTATTGATAAATATTCAAAGTCACAGCTCAAAGCTGATATATCTTGAATTTACAATTAACCAGAACGTCAATGACGTAACGCTCATCCGCATCTTGCAACAACAAATATCGTAAATTTTATGTGGTACACTTTTGAACTGGTCAAAAAATAAAAATTTGATGCCCTGGAAGAGACATAATTTCATTTAGCTGTACAAGATTAAATAGAAACTAAAGGAAATGTAATGAAAATTGGTTGAAAAATATATAGTTTGATGACAAGCAGGACTGCGTAGAGGTATAGTGTACCAAATTTAGCTCTATGATATAAAGCAAATCAAATCAAAATCGTTCGAAATATGAAGGAGAAGAAGCATTTTTTGTGATTTTTAAATTACTTTTGGAATTAATTTGCAAAAATTACCATAATTAATCAATGGAGCAAAATCTCAAAATTCTGTGTAGAAGTTTAGTGTTCCAAATTTAGCTCTACAAGATAAGGCAAACCAAATCAAAATTGGTCAAGAAATGAGGGAGAAGAAGCAATTTTTGTTATTTTTGGAATAAATTTGCATAACTTACCATAATTAATTAATGGAGAACAATTTCAAAATTCTGTGTACAAGTTTAGTGTACCAAAGTTAGCTCTACCAGATAAAGCAAACCAAATCAAAATCGGTCGAGAAATGAAGGAGAAGAAGCATTTGTTGTGATTTCGAATAGATTTGCATAAATTAGCATAGATAATGAATTTCACGATTCTGCTAGCCCTATCATATGAAACAATCAGAATCAAAATAGGTTGAAAAATAACAAAGAAGAAGCATTTTGAAAACTGTGAACGCCAGGACGGAAGGACGGACGGAAGGACGGACGGACGACATCCTTCGGGCCGGATGAGCTAAAAATGCAACATATGAAATACATGCAAATACAGTAGTGTGATATAGAATAGGTGAATATAATATCAAGATATTCAGTAGAAAAATTGATATAAAAAGAGTAGAAATTGGAAGAAAAATAAAAAGAAGAGGGAAAAAAAAGAAGGAAAGAGAGATGGAAACATGATTGATAGTAAAATAAGAGTTAACAATTGATATCTTTCCTTCAATTTTCTCTGTCAAAACTTAACGGTAGTACCCTATGATTTCAGTCATGCCCATAATCCCGCTCTTCTCATCAACCATTCTACTGCTTGTATACAGAGCCATTGATTAGTAGTGTTTGGCCAGCCGTGTTTGGGTTGTGCACAGTATGGCAAATACTGCTTTGTTGGGCAAGCACATGATAAAAGAATACACCCCATGTTGTTACCAACTGAACCCACGTTGGCCAAACTCTGTGTATAGATGGCTCTGATCTACCTACTTGGAGTGTTTTTGTTCCCTCAGATCAATATTGTAGACAGCTGCATCCTCTCCGCATGACATGAACACCACTGGGCTATCTGGCAAGAGACCAAGCTGCACAAAGATTTCAATTCAATTTATTTTTTTCATTTTCACATTTGAATAAAAAGAACAATCGCAATGACGATATACATTTAAAGAAGGAAAAAACAAGTATATGAATACAATTACCGGTATATATACTTGTTTTTTTCTCTTTTAATTATAAAACACACACAAAATTGAATAACAATTTTGATGAGGTAGTGAAACTAGACGACTGAAATCAAACTAGTAATTGTGCATTATCTACATGTAGCTCGATCCTTGCAAAAACATACAATGTATTCAGTGAAAAATGCTAAAAATCATATTCCAAAACATCATACATTTTTGTAATTTGTATTTTGTGTAAATTCAGGATTGTGAATGTCTGCATCTTATAAAATGTGATGATTTCTCTCTGTACGTACTTGACATGGCATAATTTATGGCCTTCTAGGATAAAATTTGTGACATTTGAAAATCCAGCAGCAGCAGCCAGACCCTCCTTCTCTTTAGTCTTTTTGGCTGGAGACCAAGGCCTATTAGTCCAAAGTCATTCAGGGTGTATCCTCTTACATGGCTTGCAGCATTGTAGAGAGGGCAACAATTAATATATCAATAATCATGTGACAAAGCTCACTATACATGTATGCTACAGCATGTACACATGCCATGTCACAATAGTGTGCAGTGCATTGCACACATACATTGCAAATATTTTAATCATTTTCTTTACGATAATAAAACACAAACATGGAAGTACATGTGCATACACATGTAGGTTACCTGGGGAAAGATAATGCCAAACTAAAAGAAGAAAAATTAACTCAACAATCCCTTTCACTGCAAAGCATTTAGGAACATATTGCCAATATTTTGTCTGATTGATTCAAAAGTAAACTGTGAATAGCTTTATTTCAAATTATGAGGGGATTTCAAGAGGGATGATCTACCTAATGTTGCTTTCATACAGTATCCATAGAACAATACCATAATGTTCTTCCACACTGTGAAATAGAATTTTGTTTATTCTTTCTCACAATTCCCTGATCACTGGTAAATGGCATAAAATGGGAAGAATGTGCTTATGTAGGTATGTCCTTAATAGCAGAGTATACAACAAGGAATATGGAGGAGGGAATAGAGAAGAGGGGAGGGGACATGAAGAGCGTGAAGGAGAGGTGGAGGATGCGTAGAAGGAGAGGTGGAGGATGCGTAGAAGAAGAGGAATGAGGGTGAAAGAGGAGGAGGAGAAGGAAGATCGAGGAGGAGAAGGAAGATCGAGGAGGAGAAGGAAGATCGAGGAGGAGAAGGAGGAGGGATGGAAGGAGATGGAGGAGGAGGAACAGGCGGAGAAGGGTGGAGGTGGAGGAGGAGGAGGAGGAGGAGGAAGATCGAGGAGGAGAAGGAAGATCGAGGAGGAGAAGGAAGATCGAGGAGGAGAAGGAGGAGGGATGGAAGGAGATGGAGGAGGAGGAACAGGCGGAGAAGGGTGGAGGTGGAGGAGGAGGAGGAGGAGAAGGAAGATCGAGGAGGAGAAGGAAGATTGAGGAGGAGAAGGAGGAGGGATGGAAGGAGATGGAGGAGGAGGAACAGGCGGAGAAGGGTGCAGGTGGAGGAGGAGGAGGACGAGGAAGAAGAGGAGGAAAAGGAGAAAGAGGAGAATGAGGAGGGATGAAAAAGGTGGAGAAGGGGGAAGGTGGATGAGGAAAAAGAGGAGGAACAGGAGGAGGATGTGGAGGAGAATAGGAGTAGGATGAAAGGAGTGGACTCCAATATACCTTGTGTGCTGCTCCTTTGTGTTGAACAATCTTCTTAGTCTCTTTGCAGACCCCAGTAGTGGAAAGTTCAGCCACTCTGACCTGCCCGTCTCTAGCGCAGCTGATCAGTGTTGCATCGCCGCTGCAGGGCATGAACTTAGCCTGCAGATACAACAAATTAAAAATTAATTTGAAAGAATTTTGTGATTGAGGATAATGCTTTAACAAAGGTTTTACCGACCAACAGACTTGTATTTGAACCAGGTACATGTTTCTCTTCATACATAAAACATTATCATGACTACGAGGAATAGTGAAAGTAATTACAGCGACAAGATCTATTTATATACATGTAGATAAGTAGTCTGAGGTAAACTGAAATGAGAGGAAGTATAAAGATGCAAACATGGTATAAGCAGATAACCAATGAAAGAAAAGAAGAGAAAGGAGGACAAAGAAGAGAAGAGAAAGGAGGAGAAAGAAAAGAAAAGAAAGGAGGAGAAAGAAGAGAAAGGGAAGGAATATGAGGAGCAGCAGGAGAGGCAACTAAATATACCTTGACAGGAGAAAGAGAGAAATAGAGAGATAGACAGAGAGACAGAGAGAGAGAAGGGGAGGGGGGAAGAGAGAAAGCAAGAGAGATGAAAGGGGGATAAGCAGACATGGGAAAGAAGTACACATGTATGGGAACAAAGATAAGAAGAGGAATTAGAGGACACTTCACATTAAGATTAAATTGTTAAAATTGTGTGTAAGATTAAGAAAGTATGAAGTAAAAGAAATCAGCCATAATCCACTTTTCTATGAATCTGCAAGTAACATCTAATCACAGTATATTTGTAAAGCACTTAGAGACAATATACCGTATCACACGCTAAATGAATCCAAATTATTGTTATTATCATATACCGGTACAGTAAAAAAAAAATATATATATAAACAAAATAAAGAAAGCTTTATGAGGCCTACTTACTTGAAAAACATTGCTCCTATGCCCACTTTCAAAAATGAGTTTGGGCTTTTGCCTTGCCCAGTCCCACAGAACAATCTCCAAATCATCGCTTCCACTAGCAAGAAGATCGCCAGCTGGGTTAAAATGCAAGGTATTGACACACCCCTCATGGTGCTTTAGTTCACAGTACTTATCAAGTCTTTTCGCCAGGGGGACACTTCCCATGAAGTTGAGACAGTATGGCAAGCTGCATCTCTGGTAGTGTCCAAACTCACGGGCGCGTATCTCATGAAGCGCGTGTGATTTTGGCGGCGGCAGATTCCTACCCAGAATTTCATTCTCCATGTCGCTGGAGATGTCGTGATCGCTGTCAAGTTTTGACCCTTCATCGTCAGAATCCGTTTCTGAGTCACTGCTGGTATCGCTCTTCGACATCCTTGCTCTATCTTCCCTCCCTTCCTCTCCTCCTTCCTCTCCTCCTTCCTCCATCCCACTTTCAGTTCTTTCATTCTCTGTCCTTTGTGCATCACTGTCTGTCTTTGTCTTCTCCTCCTCTCCACCCTCTTCCTCTCCACCCTCCTCCTCTCTTCCACCTTTACCTCCGTAACAACCGCAGTCTCTGTCTGCTCGGGGTCTCGAGGCTTCGCTTCCCTCTTCTGCACCACCAGTACTACCAGGCTTGTCTGTACGGACGTCCCTACGTGTATTGCTGTTGGGTTTATCTTCTGCATCCTGCCTTGCTTTGTCTGTTGTCTTGGCAACCGCATCAGAATGGCTGGTATGATTGGCAGATGCTTCTGATGTATGGTTGCTGGATTCCATCTTATCCTCTGAGCCTGAATCTTCTGCCATGTTAGCAGTTCACAAGAACACCTCGGGTGTCTTCACTTGATAATAAAACCTGTTTGAAAAAACAAGGACAGAGCAACAGGAATAATTAGGTAAAGACTTCTACATATGAAAACTGTAGTAGTCCTCATGAAACTAAGAATACGGACAGGGCAACAGGAATTTAGGTAAAACCTTATTCATATAAAACATGATAAACTTCAGCGGGAGTTTTCTTTGACTATGTATTAAAGCATATTTAGCATAATACCCTTCACCTTTTTGTATCCTATTTTAACACAAAGATACTCAGATATTGAATATATGTAAAAACTATGAGTCATGAAGTATATTTTTTTGAATTAATTTCTTAACTTGAAATATGAGTTAATATATGGTATCCTCTTATTTGCAGATTTCTATTCGCTCGTCGCCAAAGCAATCACAAGTTTCAGAGATTTTATACATTCGTACAAATCACTAGTAACGCATGTTTTCATGCAAATTGGATGTTTAAGTTTGTATCAATTGTGCTACCACTGAAATAGATTTTTTGCTACCGTATTTTAACCAGTTTGAGTAAAATTAAGCCTATCACAATCTAATTTTGTAATTAAGAATAAAATCTGACAGATCATGGAAAAGACTATATATTTTTAGACGATAGTATTGAAATAATGAATTTGTTGCTGATCATGGTTTCATGAAACGGTTCATCCACTTCCTGACATCTCTGTATAGGTCGCCGACAAAAATATGACTGTCATGGAGTGCATGGTTTCATGAAACGACTCCTTTCTTCAGGCAAACTAGTGAAACAGGGCATCGTTTCACAAAACCCTCAATCAGAACTTTAAGTTCACCAATATTTCATTAAAACAAATGTAACATAATATGAACACATGGCAATAGAATATCAACAAATTTGTGTTGACGGAATTATGTGAAACAATGTCCAAATGCTCTTGACATGCAGACATGTTTGAACTTTGATAAACCAGGCATAGACATAATACTAATAATAATAGTACTTAGTAGAAGTTCACTTTTTCTTGATGTGCGATCCATATTTCTTTTGAATAAAACCATTCCCAGTAATGTATAGCTTCCTGAGCTAAGTCAGCGCAGTAAGTGAGCTGCTAAAGGTTACTCCATCAAGTATCAACTAAATGAACATGGCCATTTAACATTTATGATTGACTGTCTTAATTAGGACACAAAGTACCAAACACCAAGTTAGTTAGCAATCATTCATCTCAGATCAGTGTTGGTTGGTTCACACTTTGTCACCACAGCACAGACAGACCCTACATGTACATGAATTGCAAGTTCATCAAAATCCGTCCTCATGAATTCAGCTTGTACTAGTTGTACTATTTGTAGTTCACTACACGTTTACACGGAATCATAACAAAAGTATTATTACCGTAGCAGAAAGCAGAATGATTCTAGACTCTACATCAACAATTTAAAAAGACAAACATTTACCAAGAACTATATAAGTAAGCTATGAATACCACACAAATAACAATATCAACATTTATAAAGGTTTAATTAGATATTTAGCAACCGCATTTTCGACTTACCAAACGTAAACAAATGAAGTTATAAAGAAATGTGTGCTGCCATCTGCGCTAATTTTTGTAGACATTTAAAAATGGCAGCCTCCAGTGTTGAAGCGAGAGAGCATGCACAAAATTTGATTGCCAAGAAAGATGAAATGGAAGCAGAAATTAAGGCTTTGTTCGAGGTTTTAGAATCTGTAAGTGAATTATTTTCGTTATGTTGACATTTGAGTGAAAACCGTACCTTTATTTGGTGTGAATTAACGTTCTTACTAAGATTTTGGATACTCTGCTAGTCCTACGCATACCTTTTGGCGCAGGGGACTAAACATATGATAAATGATATTCTCATTGCTTCCCTGTGCACGTTCACTGGCACTGATTGAATCGGTATTGCGAATTACATGCTGATTTACAAAGATTTAACATAGACCTAGATCAAGAAGAAGAAAAAGACGTAGACATTGAATGATTGATTGACTGAATAAAGAACAAGAAGGAGAAGGAGAGGAGACATGATTCAGGTAGGGAGGCCAATGCCCGGGCGTAAGGCTTCTACGCCTACGATTTGTGCGCTCGTCGTCCAAGTCAGAAAATTACCAGAAGAAAAAAAATGGGGAAAAAAAAGAAAACAAATATCTATGGAATAAAATTTATAACAAATACACAATTACACACTCCACAACATACCTATAATCACGGATCTGTAACGGTCTTTCACCATTTGTTGACGATCTTGCAGATTTTGACGTTTTTAGATCCAATAATTATGTTAGCAGACGACCTTGGCGCGCACATATGAGAAACTAGAAGGGTCCTAGAGGGCGATGAGGTTAGCTCACTAAAATCCTTCTCAATGACTGAAGGTAGAGCCTAAAAATATGGAATCAATTTAATATCAAAGAACTTTTGATAGAGATTAACATATCAGTTGTGCACAAATGTCACTTTTAACAACTAGAAAATATAACGAAAAACGATTATATCTTTTTAATTGCAGATTTTTACAAACTGCACATACGAAGGTAGATAGAGTACGATGTTTTTGTCAATCTTGCGTTGGTTTGAGACCCATAGCTAGAGCCATCTCAAATTGGGGAGCAAAACTGTGAACAGATACGTCATTGTTCCAGCCCAAAATAGAAGTCTTGCGACATCATAATATGAATATGTATGAGGTCCGGTCTCATCGCGCGCAAAACAAATTTGACGTAGTCTCACACATAGTACCTTTTTCTCAGCACCAGACACCAGTGTCGTGCAGTAATGTATGAAAGTGTAAAAAAAGACATATCAGTAAAAAAAAAAGTCTACGTGAGCAGTCTATACTCCAATTGAGAAGTGTAATGAATGCCATGGTTTGAACGTGTGTGTTTTAGTGTATGATATCATCATATGGTTAGTGAGAGAGAGAGAGAGAGAGAGGGAGAGAAATATCTCCGTCAGTACACGTCTATCAATGCGTGCAGTCCTATTGACTATGTTTGATTCCGTATTGTGTTTGCTGCAAAGTTCTGTGCAAGTTGGATTTATCGATCGTTGATAGTGTCAAATTGATCTTCACTCATGAGGAAATAATTGGAATACAAACTAAGGTAGGCCTATTTATTTATTTCAATAATTTTCTTAATTTACAATGAGTGGCTTTCGAGCTTTCTCTCATTATGTTTTAAGTTTTGACCCTCCATGCCATGGCATGGCTAGCATGGCTCGATTGCGGCTTGCATGCAATTACCGTACCTGGACGGCCTGTAGTACTGTGTCGGTGTGTGCGACTAATTCAAGGCTAGCCGGTGATGATGAATGTACTTTCGCGCGAAGTTTTGAACTTGTTGTCCGGGCAATGACCATGATGACACGCCCATTCCCTCGGGCCTGTCTAATTCTCGACGTAATATTTGGGACCATGAAATTGATTGTTTCAAGGCTCTTACGGACGGCCAGCCGTAGAAGGAAGGGAGTTCTTAAAAGCTGGATATCTCCTATTTGATGGAACTTCTGGAGTCGGCAGATGGGTGAATTTTCTTAGTGAAGGTAAATGCTTTCTTTTAATCTTAGTTTTATTATAAACAAATTAGTAATTAAAAAGTTAGATTTGGGCATTGGCCTCCCTAATTCAGGTAACAAGATCATTTTTTTATGAGCATGACAGACTCAACCCTGACCACTTCTTCCAACTAGCAGACACACCAACAAGAGGGCATAGTCTCAAGCTTGCAAAGCTGAGGTGTAAAACAAATTTAAGGAAGAACACATTGATTCAGTCACAGAGTTGTCTTGTAAAAGAGTTGTAAAACGTCCGTCTGTCGAACCAAAGATCCCGGGTTCGACTCCCACCCAGGCGGATGACTGAAGCCTGCGTTGTGTGTTAATGTGCCCCTTCCCTTGTTCATAGACGCAGGTTATGTTAAGTGGAAAACACTCCGTCCCTCGGATAGGACGTTAAATGGAGGCCCCGTGTAGAAAAGAGTCACTACCTTTGCAGGTTAAGAACCCACTGCACTATTCGTATAAGAGTAGGGGGAAACCCCGGTGTAGTAGTCCACCTGCACACACCCCCAGTATAGTACAATAATACTCTGTAAAGAGGTCTGTACTCAAAAGGAAGAAGAAGAAGACTGGAACTCTCTGCCTGAAGTAGTAGTTCAGGCTCCCACCATAGACGCCTTCAAAACCAGGCTTGATCGTTGCTGAAAGGAACACTGTCATATCTGTCAATACTCGAACTGATTTCTTTAATTTCTTTGCTCCTTGGACATTGTACATTATCCAGTCAAGATGCAACCTCTTGCCCCTCTGCCTCCCTGACTTGTATATAATGAGAATTATTATTAATGAGAATGAGTACAAGAAGATAGACCTGGAAGCTCGACTGCTGTCTCAGCATTCTTCCAGTATTTGCGGTAAAGGTAAAGGTAAAGTAAAGAAGACGAAGATGACGGAAGAAGAAGGAAGAAGAGGAGGAGGAGGAAGAAGGAGAAGGAGAAGAGCTATTCATCATGTACAGTATTAATGCAGATAGATCTACCTCCACTAATAAAAAGATAGAAGATGAGCATGATGAGTATGAGAGAGTTCAGGAAGTAGATCCTGATGTTATTTTGGTGACAGAGATTCAGAGGCCCTTCCAAAACGCATTTCTATTGACTTTTTGTTGTAAGAAGTTAATATTCCAGGTTATTTTTCTAATTGGAATAAAGATTTTCCAAAAGAGATTACTAGCATGAACATCTGCAGACCTTGACTCTATGCCCAGTGCCGGTTGGAACGTCATCATCAATAGGGTCACAAACGGTCAGTATGACGATGAGGACTAATAATGTTACCTTGTTATAGAAGCCCTAGTTCTTTATCAGAGAATAATGTGCTCTTTTTCAGCTTATTTGTGATGCTTGTACATTACCTAGGCCCGTTTCGAGTAAGCGTTTAACCGTATACCCGCCCGGTAAAGCCAGTAGTCGAATAATGAACTTGATAACCGAATACTCGATGACTCATTGGGAACCCAAGAACATCGCCTAAAAAGAGTCTAAATGGATGTGAAATGATGTGAAATAGAAATCTGTCACAATAATTCTACTTTCTAAGACATTGTCAAGGAAGTTTAAATAAATCAAATTCCTACCTAACCTTAACTTAGAAGCAAACAACTCGCGGGCTGATGAGTTTCATGAGTACCGAGCCTGCGCTTGATGATACACATGCCCTCGATCTTTAAATCTCAAATTCTTACCTCTGCAACATCGCGATCACGAGCAAACATGAATAGTAACATATCAAGACAAACAACACTCAGCAAATTGGTAAAAATAATCATTTATTGTCGAATTGAAAACAGGAATCTTTTACAATTGCAAATAAAACAAGATTAAAGACGGAAATATGAATGTAAGTACTTCTTTTCTCCACAAATAGTTACGTTTAAAGCAGGTTTTATGTGAAATTAGTGCTGGGCGGAAGCAGTCTTTTTCATCAGGAGTGGTGGGCGGAAATCCCCCGTGCTGGGTGGGCCCGCCCAGCGCTGCCCACTGTAGCTATAAGCTGCACCTGTATTACCGACTAGTCAATTAATCGTCAAAAAAAATCACTGTGAAGACTACCAAAAAGGGGCTTTCAAAACAGGCCTAACATTAACTCCTGTAAACAGGTAATACAGGTGATTTTAATTGGAATAACAACTATTGGGTGGATTTCAATGATCTTCTCAATAATCCTACTGAGATAGTGATACATGTTCAATTTCTTGGAATGTTTAGAGGATTGCTTTTTAGTATCGCTTGGTACATCAAACATCCTTTACAGGAGCTCAGGGATCTCAAGCGCAAAGCTTGATTGATTTTGACAAGTGATAATTATCAAGTGCAGGATAATGAATATTTTTTGCCACTTATAAATGCAAAGAGGAAGAGGAGAGGAAAAGATAAGGACCTTGTAAATTTATACCATTTGACTTTCACAATTTTCCTTGTAAGTTCATTATGAACTGCAATATCAAACACCATGTAAGGAATGTGATAGTGGGGTACTGATATCAGTTTTCATTTGCTATAAACTAAACCAGTCAACTTGCATTGTGTGAATTGTTTGATTTCTGTATCTTTATTTTCAGCAAAGTGGAGTTGGTATGACCGGGCCATTGATTGACGAGGAGGGCTACCCTAGGAATGATATTGATGTTTACTCAGTAAGAACAGCCAGGCATGAGATCATATGTAAGTATTAGAGGCTTTGAGAGCTGTAATCATGTTCTAGTTCTAGAAGAATAATGAGAGGGGGGGCCTTTGGGTTCTTGTTTCCGTTTTCTATCTGCCTTGCTTTATCTATATAATATCATCTTGATTATATATTAACTCATAATTAAGATAATTTTGGAGCTCTTGAAGAAAGTTTGAGGCGCCCCCCTCCCCCTCCTAAAACAAAAAGAGTGGACTTTGCTTTTCACAGACTACTGTGCCCTAGCCTACTGCCATTAGGAATTCTCATCATAATATCAAATTTCCCTCATCCTCTGGAGGGAATATTTTCTGTTGGGAAAACTGGTCGCTGCTTCAAAGACCTTTGCGCACACAGACACATTCATTGGTAATTGAATCAAATCTGGTGTCAGCGAATTATGATGCAATACACATTAACACTGACTACTATGTAGCTTTAAGTGTGAAGAAAAATCCCATTATTTAGATCCTTTAAAAAAGTGGAAACTAGCACTTTAAGGTTTTTACAAGATATTGAGGTTGAAAAACTGCCAAATGAAGCCCTTTTTATGTGCTGATTGTGCTCAGATGACAAACCTCATTTTAATCTCTGAAAGAAAATGATATACGCTATACAGTCATTGATAAAAATGAGACTATATTTTAAAAATCCACCATTTGGAAATCAAACAGTGGAAATTTTTACTATGAGATACATAGAATATATGCATGATGTGTAAATTATAAATTTTTCCTAACTTTTATCTTGCATTCAATGCCATATTTACACTCTATGATATCTGACATGTATGTACAGAGTTGAGATTGATTACTTGTAATAGCTTTATATTTCGATTCAGTCCTAATGCTACTCTCAGTCCAAAGTACTCTTCAAGTTCTACCACAAATTTATGTGCAGTCATCAATATTTTTTTGTTCAGGTTTGCAAAATGACCACAAAGCTCTGATGGTAGAGATAGAACAGGCTCTACACACACTACATGGTATTGAGAGACAACAAAGAGAACAAGGTACTTACAATCCCATTGCAAACGGGTCCAGTAATGGAGCTGCTTCAATCCCATTTGCTAAAGTGGACCTGGTTTCACAAGGATCTCCTGCAGAGAAAGCTGTAAGTCTTTTGTGTATAATGTGATCATTTATTTTAGGTCAATCCTTCTTGTGTTACTGCACATACAGTTAACTTTGCATAACTCAAAGTTGCACTAGTCATATCAATTATTTTGGCTAAACAATGCATTTGGTTATAACTTGATTAATTCCTTTTCATCAAGTTTTTATAAAAGTCATTGCTCTTCAGAATAACTTGACATTACATGCAGCCCCCTCAAAAACATTTTAAAACTCAGGATTTTATTTTTTATGTCGACAATACTTTTGATCCACCACTTCATTGCTCACATCACTTTCATTTATTTAGGACATGGTCATTTTATGTTACTGCAAGTACAGTTCAATTTGCATAACTTGAAGTCTCACTAGTCAAATCAATTTTTTTTTGGCCAAACAATGCAAAATGTGTTACTTACCCTTCCTAAGTCAACTTTTGCATAAGTCAAAGTATTTTGTGGTCCAAAATGATTTGACTAATGCAGAGTTAACTGTAGTAACTGTACTTGTCAACGTAGATGTTATCAATGAGGCAAATAGTATCAGCCCAGGTCAAGATTACATTTGGACAGTTCCTTCTCAAAATGTACTTTCAGTATATAAGTTTCAAGCATTAAAGGGAAGTCCACTCTAATTCTTTTGTATCAACTTGATTTGAGTAAAATAATAATTGTTAATGAAAAATTGTATTTAATTCAACAGAGAATAATCTTTAAGTCTTGAAGATTATATATTTTCTGGTTTCTTTTGCAATCATCACCATTATCATTTAGCATCCATTTTCCCCAAGCTGTAGAGTTTGACTTTTCATTTCCCTTATGGCCTTTCTCCATGCTTTCTAGTCTTCAGCATTTGTCTGGGTGAGGCCAGATGCATTCATATCTGCTACTAGCATCTCCTACCAGGTTTTGCGAGGTCTTCCACGATCTGCATTCTGCAGGCTATTGTGTATTTGTTTCATACGCAACTTCATGAAACATCCCAGTGTTGGTTAGGCTCTAATGGGAAGTTTGGCTATTTTCTTTCTCACTTATTACAGGGTGTATGTGTTGGGGACAGAATCACAGAGTTTGGTTCGGTGACCTCTGCAAACTTCAAGAGTATCAGAGACATAGCTCCAGTAGTGCAGCACAGTCAGGGGGTAAGTCATATGTAGTGGTTGTAAGGTGTGGGGGTAGCCATGGTGTATGGTTGGATTGAAGAGGGGTAAGTCTGTTGGGTGTGGTAGGGTGGAAGAGGGGTGAAGTCACTGTGTGTGGTTGCATGGTGTGGGGGTAGCCATGGTGTATGGTTGGATTGAAGAGGGGTAAGTCTGTTGGGTGTGGTAGGGTGGAAGAGGGGTGAAGTCACTGTGTGTGGGTTGCATGGTGTGGGGATAGCCATAGGGTATGGTTGGGTGGTGGAAGGTTCGGTCATTGGAGTGCGGTCAAGGTGAATTAGGGAAGTAAATTTGATACAGTGTAGTGGAGCGATAAGTTATTGAGTGTTGTAGGGAGGAAGAGGGAGGAAGTCATAGGGTGTGGGTTGATGAAAGTGTGGTACGGTAAGTTATTCTTCTACTTCTATGCAGTTTCTCATCAAAGCCTGCTCTGCATCTGGATGAGGGTTGGTTGTGGGATGCTTCCGGCAGTGGACGTCACATGATGTGTGCTCTCAAGTGTAGTAGTTAATGCACAGGTGCTACTCGTGCAAGTAAAAAAAAGATGCTCTCTTTGTTGAGTTAGGCTTTTTGGATGGCTACCTTGAACTGCTCTATGGATGGCAGTTTGATGGTTTGTTGAGGTAGCTCATTCCAGTCAATGAGGGTTCTAGAAAAGTACAAGACCACTGACATCCTGTATAAACGTGTAATTATTACACATGATTCAATGGGATATCGGTGAACTTGTACTTATGACAGGTTCATGAAGCAATGCCTAGGTGATGTTAAGACAGGTTTATCTTTATATTTTGCAGAAAGCTGTCCGTATTGTAGTCCTGAGAGAGGAGGATAAAGTGGTCATCTCCCTGACCCCACAAACATGGAGTGGTAGAGGTCTCCTTGGGTGAGTTTACACTAACCACTCACATTTTATTTCATATTTCGTCGTTCGAAATTACATGAGATCCCGCCAAGCGCATGCGCAGTCAATTCGCCGCGCAATTGAATTTTACAGGGAAAGTAACTTTCCCTCAGCAGTCAAAATACCTAATTTTCGGCGTTTTTTTCGGACCACCGGTTTCGAAAAAATACTTCATTAGGGAGAGAAACTCTCCTTTTTCATGTTTTTGGAAGACTTTTGAGAATCTGTGCTGTTTTTATATCAAAAATCGAAGTTTTGTTCCGATTTCCACGTACACGATGGCGTCTCCGTCAGGCAGCACCAAGCAGAAAACCAGCGAAACGCTGAGCACGGCTAAAGCCGGAACTTCCCCGGGCGAAACCGCCGCGGGCCCCTCTACGAAGCCTGAGCCAAAGCGCTCATCGGCAGTGAAATCCTCCGATACGAAACGCAAAAGTGTCTTGGCAAAGCCTGCCTCGAATGAGTCTAAGAACTCTGGGCCTAAAAAGAAGGGCAAAAAGCCTGAAGAAAAGGAGGACTTCACGGATTTACGAGGAAGACTTGACAAATTGGAATCCTTAATGGAGAGAATGGTGGATTTTTTGCCTTGTCAATCTGCAACTCGCCCCACAGGGGATACACCACCGACAGCATATACAGCTGCGACGAACGTGAGATTTCGTGAAGTTGAACATGATGATGATGATTTTGAGCATATTGACACTGGAAACATGGGCCAATGCCCTACGTCATATGACATTGGCAGCATGGATGAGGGTGATGTCAACGAAACTGTTGCACCAGGTTTAGACCAGGAGAATGAGGACAAAGTTCCTGCCCTGGCTCAGAAATTTGCTATCCCTACTGGGGTTGGTGGCGCGATCCACGATGATTTAGCAAAGTCTGCCATGTACCTCATGTCCCACCAGCTAGAGGAAAATGTGTTGGAGGAAGCTGGAGGGAAATACCCTCCTCCAAGCAATTGTACTCCACTGTGTTGCCCCAAAGTGAATGCAGCAATATGGGAAAACCTATCCTCGCAAACGAGAAGCCGTGATTTGAAACTGCAAAGAATCCAAAAGCCTTTGACAAGGGGACTCACAGCTTTTATTCAAACTCTGTCCCCCGATAGCCTATCTGAGACACAACAGGATGCATTGGCATTGCTGTGTAACACAAACTTTGAAATCAACTGCTTACGCAAAGATCAGATTAAGCCAGACTTAAATGCCAAGTACTCACATCTTTGCAAACCTGCCACACCAGTGAGTCAGTACTTATTTGGCGATGACTTAACAAAGAGAGTCAAAGATCTTACAGAACAACAAAAAGCTGCATCTGGCGTGGTGCGTGGACAACGTACACCCCGCCCCCAGTACCATCCGTACAGGACGCAAGCGTCCAGCACTTTTCAATACCGCAGACAAGGATGGAACCGTGCCACCGGCACATCACAAACTTTTCCAAGTAGCAGGCCCGCAAGTGGGAACTACAACACGCCTTTTTTAGGCCAGCGAACCCAACGAGGCAGACCATACAGAGCTCCGCCTCACACCCAGACGATGAGCATGGGAAAACAGACCCAATCCTTCCAGCGGCCACAGGCAGCAAGGAGGAAATAGCTACACCATTACCCAAAGAGGTAAGTAGCACATATGAATATTGTGAGAATGTTAATGCTCCTTCTACTTCATGTACATTACAACAAGAATGCATCTCAAATGTGCCTGTTGGAGGTCGATTGATATATTTCTATCGTAGATGGCTTGAATTAACGTCAGATCTATTTCTGCTATCGGCAGTGCGAGGCTATGAGATCGAATTTGATTATTCGAAAGGGGTTCCCTCAAGAAATAAGCCCCTCTACGGTTACAAAAAGAGCCCTTTAGAAATAAATCAGATTACTAAAGAAATCTTGGCTCTACAAGCAAAAAACGTAATAGAACCTTGCTCATTTGAAGAGGGAGAATTCCTCTCAAACATCTTCACGAGACCCAAGAAAGATGGGGGTACTCGTATGATCTTAGACTTATCAGAGCTTAATCAAAGTCTGAATGTACAACACTTTAAGATGGATAACATCCACACTGCCAAGCACTTGATTTCTCCGCACTGTTATCTTGCATCAATCGACCTCCAAGATGCTTATTACTCCATTCCAGTAGACCCAAATAGTAGAAAATACTTGAGGTTCATGTGGCAGGGTGAGCGCTGGCAATTTGCAGCCTTACCTAATGGGCTCAGCACAGCCCCCAGACTGTTCACAAAATTGCTGAAGCCAGTCTTTGCCGAACTGCGACAAGCAGGTCATACAGTCATAGGATATTTGGACGACACCATAATTATTGGTGAAACAAAAGAAAAGCTGAAAGAGAGTGTGAGTGCAACAACCAAGATCCTCTCAGAATTAGGATTCCTCATTCACACTAAAAAATCAGTGCTCATCCCAACACGTGAACTAGCCTTTCTTGGCTTCATTCTTAACACTGAGAGTATGATTGTTAAATTGCCTCAAACAAAGGCACAAGAAGTGAAAGATTTATGCCGTGAATTAATGGGCACGTACCTCCCATCAATACGAATGGTAGCACGAGTGATTGGGAAGGTCATAGCAACTTTCCCTGCGGTTGAGTATGGCCCCTTATACTATAGATCAATGGAAAGGGACAAAATTGCAGCCCTCAGACAAAACAGGGGTCATTTTGACAGAAAGATGAAGTTGTCCCTTGAGGCAAAAGAGGAGTTAAAGTGGTGGATGAACAATGTTTCTATGGCCTCCTCCCCAATTGTTAGGAAAAAACCTGACTTAGAATTGTACACAGATGCCAGTGGCCTTGGATGGGGAGCTACTGACCTCCAGAAGCAAACAGGGGGTCGTTGGAATGAATTTGAGGCAGAAAGGGCACGAAACAATGAAATAAATTTCCTGGAAACCCTAGCCGCTGGGTTGGGGATAAAATCCTTTTGCATGAATAAGCGTAACGTTCATGTGATGGTAAGAATAGATAATACCACTGCAGTGGCTTATTTAAATCACATGGGAGGCTGCAAGTCCGCAATGTGTGACAAGATGACGAGAGAAATTTGGCAGTGGTGCATTTCTCGAAATATTTGGGTCTCCGCAGCCCATGTACCTGGTCGGCTCAATACTATTGCAGATGAAAGATCCAGGAAATTTAATGATCGGACAGAATGGAAACTAAACAGACAAGTGTTCGATAGAATAGTTTCCCACTTTGGTGTACCAGAAATAGACCTGTTCGCCTCGAGACTAAATGCTCAAGTAGAGAAATATGTCACTTGGCACCCAGACCCTGGGGCTTTTGCAGTTGACGCATTTACGCTAGATTGGAAACCTTTTGCATTCTATGCATTCCCACCGTTCTGTATGATCCCCAAATGCTTGCAAAAAATCAGAGAGGATAAAGCTAGAGGGTTACTTCTGGTCCCTAATTGGCCTACTCAGGCGTGGTTCCCTCAGTTGGTTAGCATGATGGAAGGAGAGCCACTGTTTATCCAGAGGCAAGAAGATTTGCTACTCCTTCCTGTGTTAAACACCACCCACCCTCTTAATGCTAATATTGACCTCCTATGTTGCAGGTTATGCGGCAACATTTTGAGAATCGGGGACTAAGCAGACGAACAGTGGATATCATTACAGCTTCATGGAGAGCATCAACCTGCAAGCAGTACCAAGTGTACATCACACAGTGGCGAAGATTTTGCCACAGCAGGAATACGAGTTACCTCCAAGCCGAGGTGGAAACGGTACTAGAATTCCTTAGTAGTTTATTTCATGACAGGAACCTTAGCTACAGTGCGATCAATACAGCTCGTAGCGCTTTATCCACTTTTCTGATTCTCGTTGACAGTAATCAGACAATAAGTACTCACCCACTTATAACCAGACTGATGAGAGGTGTTTTTCAACTCAGAACTGTCGTACCTAGATATACAGAAATATGGAATATTAGTCCAGTCCTCAATTTTCTAAGAAAATTGTCTCCAGTAAACTCCTTAAACCTCAGAGATTTAACACTCAAAGTATGTATGCTAATGGCTCTTGTATCGGCACAGAGAGTGCAAACCTTGCATATATTGAAGACTAACAAGATGACCCTAAAAGGGGGCTTTGTGGTTTTTCATTTGGATGAACACTTGAAGCAAAGCAAACCAGGAAATACCGATTTTAATTTTAAATTGGAAGCATATCCACCTGATAGAAGATTGTGTATTGTAAAATATGTGAAACATTATGTCCAGCGCACAGGACCACTTCGTGGGAATGAGAACTCATTCTTTGTAAGTTACACCAGACCTCATAATAGAGTAACAACTCAAACCTTATCTCGCGGGATCAAGACCTGCTTGCAAAGAGCAGGTGTGGATACAAACGTTTATAAGGCTCATTCAACGCGGGCAGCATCAACTTAAGCAGCTGCCAAGGCAGCACTTCCAATGGACCAGATCCTAGCCCGAGCAGGATGGTCTTCAGAGAAAACGTTTAGGAAGTTCTACAGGAAACCTTTTGAAAACAAGAGAAACTTTACCCAGGCAGTCTTACAAGATAGCACACTGCTTTAAGAACTGCATCAGAAGGCTTTTCAATAGAACTGGCATTAAGAGACCAGCTATCTATTTAATAGAACTGGGATTAAGAAACCAGATGTCTAGAATAGACTAGATACAGAAACGAACAATGTTTTTGCAACATTATGACATCTTATATATGGACGTCTTGTATGTGAAATGTTTTGCCACATGTATGAACAGACTACAATAAATGTCAAATATGGTGAGTCATTGATTAGAAGCATTCAATTCAATCTGCATAATCAGTGTTCACTTTTCCGTACATGTTGGTTGTTCCAAATGTGACTACTATGCTTCAAAATCTCATGTAATTTCGAACGACGAAATATGAAATAAAATAGTAAGATTAAACGAGAACTTACCGTTTGAAGTTTGATCTTTATTTTATGAATATTTAGGAGGAAGTTATTACATGCCCTCCTCACCCACCCAAACTTCAAACTTAAGTGTAAGTTCCCTGTTCCTTACTATTGAGAGTAGCCACATTTGTAGCTTTGAATATTGACTGCGCATGCGCTTGGCGGGATCTCATGTAATAACTTCCTCCTAAATATTCATAAAATAAAGATCAAACTTCAAACGGTAAGTTCTCGTTTAATCTTACTATTATCCAGTATTGATAGAGCAATCTACACTCAAAGTTTGATTGCGTAATGGAATAGTGTGAAAAGGGTACATATTTTCTGTCTGTGTTCTTAATTATGTGGAGTTATTTTAAAAGAGTTATTTAAAAGGTATTTCAAATGTTATTAAGTCATATCTGTAATATAGATTTTGACTTGAAGTAATGCAGGACTCAAAATTACATAAAACTTCATGTACAGACAGTACAGTACATGAGAAGTTATTCTCTTGCATTTGTTCAACATTGTTTCTGGTTTTTGGGGTGGTCTAAAAGGCAGAAAGAGGCAAATTACCCCTAGGTTCCTACGCTAACCCAATGAAATGAAAAAAATGAAATGATCTCTGCATGCTACAGAGTGAAAGAAATACTGATGCTAATGTACATGTAGAGCATCTTGTCATGAATAACTCTTTGAAATTCCATTCATCTTATTTGAAGCAAATTAAATTATTGCTTATCATTCCTATATATATATATATATCGATGTATTGGCAATTCTGTATTGTGTACCATACATGTATATATGAGGAAATCGTAATTAACGGTGTATAAACCGCACCTTTTTGCCGCCGAAAAAAATTCAAAGTCGGGGGTGCGGTTTATACACGATACACCAACAAACAAAAAAATAATAATAATTTAAGTTTCGCTTTATTCCCCTCCACCTGGCGCTATGCCTGGCAATGTCTCCCAGCTCAGTAATCGGTGTGTTGACTCACCCCTCGGAAACTAGAACAATACTCAAATTTGTCTGTCATCTTGGTTTGAAAGTAATCTTTCTGATAGATCTCACTATGTAGTTTATAATAATAATTCCTCCAATTTTTCTTCTATTACACGTCGTACCAAGGTTCTATCCTAGGTCCTTTTCTGTTTTTTTAATTTACATTAATGATCTTACACATTCAGCTGCGCCTCGCAGTTAAATAAAAGGCCTTCCCGCGTGGGTTTTTTAACAGACAAAGTCAGCAAAAAAAAAAAGGGTTTTTTTTTTTGGTTGTTTTTAGGGCGAAAAAGAGGGGTGCAATTAATACACAAGGGCGGTTTATACACCGTTAATTACGGTAGATAATTGTAATGCTTAGTGGTATCAGATACATGCAGTTCAAAAGTTAAAGACTCTGGTCTATAAAGTCTTAACAACTTGTAGTACAGACAATGTTGATTCAATAACATGTTAGAGCTAGTGTACAGGATAGGCAGATCGATTCCACCCACATCTCTTTGGAATTAACTGGTGTTGTTTGGTTAAATGTTAAATCATTGCCTACTGGGACCAGGTGGCCCCTGTATTAACCCTATGGCAATTAATGAATTCAGTAGTTAGCAGGTTAATTGGTGTTAATGATTTACAAGATGACTTCATTTATTACACTAATAATATGAACAAGATCATAAAGTGTAAAAGTCATATTTTTTAAAAATAATTCTTTAAGACTTTCTCTTTTAGATGATGACTTACATCATGGTTTTTATCTGATTCTTTGCAGGTGCAACATCATTCCAATCAGATAGACAGAGGTGGAGTCCAGGATTGTAAAAAGAACTCTGTGAAAAGAACTTTGAATGTTCATGTAGCATCCCTCCTTAGTTCTAAGTGATCCAAGACCTGGGAGTGATTCATGTCCTGCACTGTCCTTCAAATATTCCAAGCATCTTCGTCTTGACCAACAGCCTCAGACATCTACTCCTGGATGATCACCTTCCTCGGACAACTACCCCTTCTGGACACCATGCCCACATGGAAAAGCTATTCATCATATCAAAGGGTCAGTGACACAAAGATGTAACTCCATTTTGGCCAGTTTGAAAAAAGTGGTTTATGTGTCACTGAGCACTTGGGCCTTGAGTTAAGTCTATGTTTCACTAGCCATTGACTTCAATGGGGTGTTGGGATGAGTTAAGTCTTTGTGTTTCCTTGAAAGCCCACATTTTTCTGAACATTTTGATATCAAATACTCATTTTGGCAAAATATGGAGTTACGTCTTTTGTCACTGAACCCCCGATATATATACAAAATGATTCTGCCCGTACATTTAATGATCATAGTGGGCAAGTCCACGGTATTTGGTTGTTCAGCTCAGTTCAATTCAGTTCTTTGTTCGACATCAAAGTATACATCAAAAAAACATATCCAATGATAATATACAAATAATGCATGCGAATGAGTTCATTATACGATCTATTGGCACTCCAGTTGAGGCTGTATGCATCTATCGTACAAAGCCGTTGGGCTATTAAAGTACAATAGATGTGTGTAATGCTGTATGTGCTTCATTTATTAAAGATAAGCTTGAGTTCTGGTAAATATAGAAAATAAATTCTCACAGAATCCAATGAAACTAAAACTGAATGTTCAAGATTACAAACAAATGACATGTGCCGAACAATTTTGGTAGAAAAAGTTTTAGAGGCTGAGTAATGAGCATAGAAAGATACGAAAATCCAGATAAGTAGGCCCAACACCATGTGCTTAAAACAGGTCACTATGTGCAGATGGGAGTTGTGGTTTTTATCAAGATGATGCCCACTAAGTTTTTGTGCATTTGTTTTTATTTCACTGGTTCAAACAACCAATCTACTGCAGGATAAAAAAAAATCTGGAATAAATCATAGCAATTTTCTCTCAAAATATGATTCCCATACCAGAGCTCAAGATTACTGGTAGCTTTTGTTTTCCGAGCAGTGATGATATTGAAAAAAAATTGCAAGAGAATTGAATGTAAAATATTGTTTGTACATACACTCAGCCAAAAAATAAATAAAGTGGACACTATTCGTAGTTAAGATTATCAAATGAATATATCATTTTAAAAAAACTTATCTTTCATATATAAAAATAGACATAAATTAATCCTCTTTAAGATGGCATGGAATCGGAATGATATCATTCAAGCATGAGTGAGCATAGTCAACAATAAATGAGTATGAGAAAGAAATTGCAAAAATGGGGCATCTGGCCATTCAAATGTTGATGATCATTAAGGGTATCCTATGCGGCCAGGAGCAGACGATGGAACACCTGCTAGTCTGCCCACTCCTGCCAGAGCCAGACGACCTGGAAGCCGTGAATTGCTGTGCCAAAGCCTGTGTGAACCACTGGACGGGACTTTTGTAGTGACTCGATAAGAAGAAGAAGATGGTTTGTCAACTGGTGGGAATTAGAGCCATCTTGACCGTGTTTGTCAGAAAAATGTAGCCCTGCGACTACAGTTGACATCCAGAGCTCAATCCTCCTCATCATTTTTCATTCTTTGTTTTCAATGTTCAACAAGAATGTCTTACAGATGCACATGTCCAATATCATTTGAATGGCTACTTGCTCTATTTTTGCAATTGTCAATATTTAAGATATAATATGAAAAGTTTTGCTTTTAAAAGTAGACACTGTGTAAATGTGTCAGATTGTCAAAAACAATACACAAAATTGTAATTATGTTAAATGTCTTACATCATATATCCTGTTAAACATGGATATATGTGAAGTTGTATTTTGTTGTTGTAAAAATGTATTGAAATAAACTTAGAAATGTAAATTCAAGTGTTATGACTTTGTTTTGTTCATTTCACTAGTAATGGAACGGAACGATGGAATAAAAGTGCATATCTCTATTCGTGTTATACAGAGTGCTATATAAAAAGACACTTTCAGGAATTATGCAAGTGGCCTAGATTTGTGAAAATTTCTTGCATGAAAGTATAATAATTGAATCACAATATTAATTTGTTCAATTTTTGTGAAAAATTCTTGACGGAAAATGGCCACGATTCATGAAAAATGTTTGGTTTACAATTACTTTTTGCTTGTAGCTGCTCGAGGATAACAGTGTTCCAAAGGAGATGTACACCAGCCTTATGCACCATATATCACTTGACAAACACTAAACTCTTGATCTCTCCTTTGATATTCTATTTCTCTTTACCCCCATCTCTGTCTCTCTCTCTCTCTCTCTCCCTTATTCCCCATATATCGTCGCCGTTTTCACGAACCGGCACAGCCCAACGCGCAACGAAATAAGTACATTCTGAGAAAAACGCGTTTTACGTTTAGCCCGTTTTGAATTCGCCAGAAACATGCCTTATGTCAAATTTTATATCACAAAATACATATCAATGAAAGGAAAATATTCTGTATTTTCTATACATTCCATTTGTTAAGCATAATGACAATTACTATTAATATTACGAAGCTTTGGACTCTCGTGCCGGTTCGTGAAAATATTATTTTGCTGTTTACGTAGCAAAAATATTTTCACGAACCGGCACAAGCCACTGTGTCGTTTTTCCTATGTAACTTTACGCGCAAGACAAAAGCGCTCGCGCTGTCTTAGCGCGTATTTTATTTTCACGAACCGGCACAACCGCCTGTGTCGCGTCGTCTAGGTCTTGTAAGCGCAAAGATATTTTCACGAACCGGCACAGCCCATTGACTTATAACGGCGCGTGCCGGTTCGTGAAAATATGAATCGTGCTTTTTGGCTCGTGTGTCGTTTTTGTCATTTGTGTAACCGTGGATATCACAAAAACTAAAGCGTTTTGGATGCTGAAATTTGGTGAGATGAAAGATTGTTGATAACTTGTGCTAAAAATGCAAAAAAAATAAAAACTACATTTTGAAGGGATTTCGGTGGCTTGTGCCGGTTCGTGAAAACGGCGACGATATATCTCTCCCTCTTTCCAATCTCCCTTCTCTAACAACCTTACTATCAAGCTCCCTCGCTTTCTCTTTTCTTCATTTTCTTCCTTTTTCCATCTCACTCTCATGTGTATACTTTCTATATATCATTGATTTTTCTTTGACCAGCACTGCATCTCTCAGTTATATTTATCATCAAATCACTCTTTCTAATATAATCAATGAAAAAGTGATCAACTCTTCATCTTCTTACTTCCTCTCATAAGTCTTTATCAAAAGAAAACAAAAATTCAAAAGACGGAGACATACTGCACGCCAAAATACGGGACAAGAACAACTCTTATTGTGAACAATATCAAGTAACAAAACCAAATGTACAGAAATACATACACATATAGGTACGTCTAGATGATAGCTCAATCAAGACTTTTCTTGGGGACACAATAGAGATAAATTCCTATATCATTTAGTTTTTATATCTCTCACATGTACTGGTAAATACTGCAAAAGGAGTGAAGGAGATAATTGTCTTTTACATTGTAAAATACATTGTTCACCGTCACTTGTTTTAAATCTCAACCTTCCTATTAATTCAAAGTAATAGGAACTCTACCGGTATACAAAAGAAATATATCTCCTTAATTTCTTCAAAACGATATTTGTGCTCAAAGAAATTATGAAAATTCAGAACACAATGAGGCTATTTAAAGAAAAAGAAACGGCGAAGTATTCAGTACCAGTAGTGCTCTGACATACATGAACGCTCAGGCAACAATTGCTTCAGGCTTTATTCCATCTAAGATATTATGTTAGAGTTGAGGTTGCAACTGGTGGATTTGACAGCAGATTTAGGTTTTAGGGTTGGGTAAATCATTTTACTGTATGAACTTACTGATACATTCATACAGGTATTTATATGTATTTACTATCTATAGGCCTAGGAAATGCCAAATATGGTTGTATTTTATAATAATAGAAAGACAAATTTTACAGAGGACATTAAAGTGCAATCTGTTTTTGTGCTGTATTCTGTAATGTACAAATGTACCATACAGAGAAAATATGAAGTTATAAACTAGTATCGATTACTATGCTCTCATTCACTGAGTGTCCGTCTTTAGATATCACAGCCAAATGGTCCCCTTTTTTTTCAATAGCTTCGGGCAGCCTGTGTAGGGACCAAGATGTTTTTGTATGACCTGATATGTCTACAAAGCTGATCAATATAATCCCTGCTGAAACTAATTGACTTTAAAACTAATAACACTAATCCTGATAATAATAGTAACATTTTGATTGTGCTTTACTGCTTTATACATGTTTGTACCAGTAAATGCTGTACTATTATTACCTCCTGGTTTCGGCATGGGCTAAAATCATAAATTTTCTTCAGATTGTTTCTTAAAAAACTTATTCATTATCATTATCGTATGATTGTTTTTGTTCTACTATAATTGGATTTAAATCTATTTCTTTGGTACTATGTAAAGCGCTTAGAGATGTCTAATATTAAGCGCTATATAAATTCATTATTATTATCATTGCATAAATTTTGGTTCTTGTATAAAACAATTACGAAATCAAAAAATCAAACATAAATCCTAAATATGTGATTCTAATTGGTTGATAAAGTTACCTCACAGAGCTGCATTCAATACCAACTTTTCATGCAAGATGTCCAAGATGTAACTTATCATGTGAGGCAATTATAAAGTACAGTCAAACCTGTCTATAGCGACCACTCAAGGGAAACACAAAACGTGGTCTTTGTAGACAGGTTCCGTTAGTACATGATTCAATGAGAAACCCATTTTTAAGAGAAACAAAAAATGTTGTTTTTGTAGACAGGTGGTCACTAAAGCAGGTTTGACTGTACATGTATGATTTTACATTAAGCCTGACAAAATGTGTTCATAATCTGTTACCAAAAAAAGAAATCAAGATAATACCACAAACTCCATAACTATTTAGTATAATGATTGAGAGTCCCCTGTAGTCCGACGTATAGCTGTAGGGCTACAAACCCAACACCAAATGTAAAGAAAGACTTCGCTAAGAGGAGCGTCCAAGAGCCAAGTCCTGCTGCATGGATCAAAATTCTGTGTGAAAAAAAGGCAATGAATAAGGAACATACAACATTATTATCTATATAAGGCTTCCAAGTGGTACATTAAATCAGTGTATTCAATATCTTTAGCGCAGTACCCGGATGACTGATCAATATTGTATTCGTATTGCTCAGTCATCCGGGAACTTTCGGGAACATCCGATATCAATATCACATAAAAACAAAGTCATATTTACTGAGGTAAATCAAATTTTGTTATTTCTCTAGTCAGCCTGATATAGATAATAATAATATTGTATGGCTTTGTTTTTGTGTGATACAAGAATATATTGCTCGAGCTATGACACTCAAAGCCATACAATATTATATAAATACTGTCAACTAATTCAAATGTTCCGCATATGACATAGATGATTCAATCATGCTGTAAAAGTAAATCCCACTGGATAATCATAGGCAACACAAAATATGCTCTTTATTTTGTTCCACAAAAATAATTGTAAAACATTGAAAGATGGGATGGGATGATTAAGGTCCAGTATCTTACCTATGATTCAAATGTATCTGTTACAACCTATTATTGAAAGAATCATGTGATTCAAACAACTTCTCCCTCTAATTGTATTTTTATTAAACAGGCTAGTCATCAAAGACAATTTCCATACATACTGTGGGTATTACAAGGAGAACCGGGTTACGTATATAATTTAACAAGCAAATGGCATATACATCCATATTGTTTTTCCACGATAAGATCTAGTATTAACTTATAATGGTGATCAAAACAAATTATTTAAACCTGTCTATTAAGACCACCTAATGGAACAGAAGAAGTGGCCACTGTTAACAGGTGGTCTTTTCCAGCCACCTTCTACAACATACTTTTTTTTCCTGGAGAGGAGCCATACATGTCACCACTAACCTTTACAGTGTGAGTCAAAAAAAAGTTTACGCCTAGAAAATTGCTAATTATTTTAAAAATCATCTATGAAAAGTAAATTATTATTCATCTTATGAAAGAGTGTTTTATCTCAAATCATTTGGTACCATTTTTGTGTGGTATGTGTTTACGCTTGGATGAACAGGAGGCATTGTTTGCAAGAGTGCCAAAATTGACTTGCGCCAAAGTTGCTTATGTGATGTTTGAATACAAAAATTGGGTTTTGGGTATTAATTCAGTCTTTGCAGATCTAAATAACATCCCTAACAAAATTAAGCATGCCACACGTACCAAATATCGAATACCAAATATCAACAAACATCTGTGCGCGTGTGTGTGGGTGTGTGTGACTTTGCCCTTTGCAAAAAGCATATGCAATGCAATTCATTTGATATATTCAACTTATTCTCTCATTCCGCTAATCCCAACATAATACATACTGTAGGCATCACTTTGGCGCAAGTCGATTTTTGCACTCTCGCAAACAATGCCTTCTGTTCATCCAAGCGTGAACACATACCACACAAAAATGATACCAAATGATCTGGGATAAAACACTCTTTCATAAGATGTATGATAATTTACTGTTCATAGATGATTTTAAAAATAATAAGCAAATTTCTAGGTGTAAACTTTTTTTTTACTCACACGGTATAGAGAAGGTGCCATCAAGTTTATATGTATCTGAATCAAAAGTGAACTATGAGACCACAATTATAAGTAATTATTAATTGACAGAATTTTTTTAATTCTATTGTTATTTTTTTTTTTTTTTTTGGGGGGGGGGGGAGGGGAATATTTGCCTTACTGGACTTTGACTGGTCTTGTATATACTTACTCAACAACAAGAGGCTTGTAAGAGCTAAGGGCTAGTAAGGTCACTACAATGGGCTGGACGGACTTGTTGAGGTCATGACGACTCCATAGCCATACTAGTGCCGCTGTGGATATGTGTTGTACCTGTTTGTAAAACAATTAGAATTCCCCCATTCAAAGATGTTTAATTCAGTTGAATATTTTTTACTTTAAACAGAAGATAGGATAGTGAGAATGAGAGGACAAAGAGGGGATAACGCAGTCGGAGAAAGGGGAAAAGAAAAAGGGACAGAAAAAGAGTGTATACCAGTAGTGAGATACAAACAGAGAGAGGGGGCTTTGAAGAGAAATACAGCACAAGCAAGAAATGCCAACATGTTTGTTCATCCAAACCATACTATCAATGGGAACATTATTTATTAAGTCTGAAGTAGTTCTTGCATTTTTATAGTTTTCAAAGGCAAGGCTGGTCCACAGGGAAGCAAAGCAAAGTAATTAAGTTGTTCCTCTTCTCCTCACAATCGTACTGATTGTAGGTCTTCTAAGAGCTACATATCGGATATAAGCTAACTGGATATGGTCATGAAAGAAATTCAGTCTACCCCTCGGATTAGCATTACATTCATAGATGGATGGACTTCAAGTCACACTTTGTTCCTCTGGCCCCTCCTTCATGGACTGTAGTACATTGTAACAATCCAGAGTACTATACGGGATGGGTAGTAGACTAATTGGATATTAGATGATATGGAAATTATACCACATGACTATTAGACTATATGGTCATTAGACCAAATGATATGTAGACCAAATGACTATTAGACTATATGGTAATTAGACCAAATGATAAGTAGACCAAATGACTATTAGACTATATGGTCATTAGACCAAATGATAAGTAGACCAAATGACTATTAGACTATATGGTCATTAGACCAAATGATAAGTAGACCAAATGATTATTAGACCATGTGGATAGTAGACGGGCTGGGCGTAGACCATATGGGAAAAGAGTAAGACTATATTTGGGAGTAGACGAACAGGTTGTAGACCAAACAGCAATTCACTGATCTACATTACAGGCTACACAGCTCTTTAAAGGTTACTAGAAGGAGGATATAAAACATGCTTAGAATTTGCAACCTTACCAGATTAACATTGGATTCCAGGCTGAGTTGTATGTACTTCCAGTCAAACTCTGTCCCCCTGGCCCCGACCCACATGGGTACAACTCTGGTCATGATGAGCTCGGCTGTGGCCCATCCCACTCCTGCAACCAAGAACTTGAGTTCCCCCTTGGCTGAGATGCTGTTCATGATGAAGTAGAACCCAATCAGGTCACCGAGGTCAATCGTCGACTTCATGAATTCCTGTAAATATCAAGATACACCTTAGAACATTTTGTTTCATTATTTTGTTTTTCTCCACGTCACGATAGAAATTAATATTACATAATCTTCGAAATACAAAACTATACAATGAGATATCTGAAGTGGGAGGATCATGAGAAGCACATAAATGACTAGTTAAAAAATGATCCTCGCAAAATACTACTTCGAGAGATGAATCAGTTTCTATTTACTCTGGAGTACATCGTTCAACAAGTAGGAAAAAGCAGAAGGCGACGGCTTTGACGGAAATCGCCGAATTGAGGCAGCAGACATCGGCAATTAATGCAAGGATTAAGGAGCTATTACAAGGGTTCTCAAACATAAAGACTACCGAAGAAAGATCGAAGCAGAAAAAACATAAAAGGCGTACCAACACGCAAATATCCAGTAATGTGACGTCAAGTTCGGATGAAGTACAACTAAAGTCACAAGAGGAATCCTCGAATACAGAAGGGATCCAGACTCCTTCACTGTCAAGCAGGGCAGTGAAAGTAAATGAAGAGCAACGGATAAAGAGGTTACATCGGAAGGATGAGTCATTGCATGCAGCTACACCAAGGAATAGAGGCATCTCTATTACGCCTGACAAATATGATGGGTCTACCTCATGGATTGACTACTGCGAGCACTTTGAATCCTGCCGTGCAGTGAACGGCTGGAATGATGAAGAAGCAGGAAAGATTCTAGCATCATGTTTGAGAGGGCAGGCTTTAAGATTGCTGCAGGAACAGAAGCAGAGAATGATGAGCTTCAATGATCTGAAGAAAAAGCTGGCTAACAGGTTTTCGGATGACGGACAAGCCGAAAATCATTTGCTGGAGCTTAAAGGTAAAGACCAGTTATGGTCATACGATTGCAGTGTGAAAGAAAAACGTTGGGGTATCGATCAGAAAAGGTTGATCATCTAGCATAGATGTACTGCAAGGTTCTGGAATCATCAAAATGATAAGAATTTTGGCCCATTCTTCGTAAAGTTACAAGCACTATACACAGAAAGATGTATATGGGACTACCCTATATCTCTCACAGACCATGAGAGAAACAAATTTACCAAATATATGAATTAGTAGGCGGTTTCCCGGCAAATTTTTTATCATCATGTATTAGTCGAAACATATTCTTTCACATGATTGGTAATGAGAGCTTCCATTTCATTTTTTGAAATTGGGGCGTTTCCAATACTGGTCTTTACCTTTAAGCAAAGGCAGAGACATGAGGGCGAAACACTCAAAGAGCTAGGGCAAAACATCAGAGAATTAACTTCCTCAGCTTATCCAGAGTTGGACTATGCTGTACGAGAGAGATTGGCGAAAGGGCATTTCATGGATGCCCTAACGAAACCCAAGCTCAGAGAGGCCATATTCAATTCTCAGGGTAAGACACTAGACGAGGTGGTTCATGTAGCTGTAGTAGCTGAGGCATTTCACAAGTCTGAAGATCAGAGGATGGGCACTGGAAGGACCTCAAAGTACAGTAGGGGTATGACAAAGGAAGAGGAAATGGATCAACAGCCAGCCGACACAACCTCTGAAGTGAAGAACACCCTGATCAGCCTGAAAGAGGAAATTGTAGGATTGATGGCAGCAATAAAGGGCGCTTTTCAGGCGTCTCAACAAACAGCTCACTCTGATGGAAAGCAACAACGGGAGAAATCAGCTGTATCTGATGGTTGTTGCTTCTACTGTGGAAAGAAGGGGCACATCAAGAAAAAGTGCAGGAAAAGGCTCAAGAGTGAGGCTCAAAGGCAAACTGAACAAAAGCAACAACAGGTCTCAACAAACGAGAAAAGGCTACCACAGGGGGGCGTGCATGATGCGGCCAATGCAGCAAGATCTGACAGTCCCTCAACAACAAATACCACAGAATCAATAGGCACCTCTAAGCACAATAGAGAGATGCACCAAGGAAAATTAAAGGGCATGTATATACCAGTTATCATCGCCGGGCAACAGTTACATTTTTTTGTAGACACTGGGGCTACAAAGCAGGATATGTGAAACTGATAGAGCAGCCTTCTATTGAACCTACTACAGAGAGAATAATGCTTGCAAACGGCTCAAATATGAAGGTGGACGGCAAGATCCACACTGAAGTGACAATAGGCCAGGAAAAGGCAAGGGTCACTTTGATTATCGCTGATGTATGCGGCGATGGAGTCTTGGGCATGGATAATCTTCTGTATTCAGAGCGAAGCTTGACTTGGAGACGGTTACTCTAGAGACCAAATGGGGATCAGTTCAGTGTCGCCATGAATGCAAGACAACAACCTGCTTCCGCATTGTAACTACGGAGATGCAGACTGTACCTGCAGGACGAGAGAGCCTTATTTCAGGAAAGACGTCGCCACTGAGACGGAGGAAGAAACAGATGGTGATCAACTGTTCCAAGCCGCTAGAAGCCTGCGTCAAGCTGGAGGCGGATGTAAGGTGACGCAGAAAACAAGACACATCATTCCGCCAGGGATGAAGATCACCTACCAATACGAGTCACTGCACCTGCTGGATGGAACAGTATACACTCGTATTACCAGAGAAGAGAAGAGAAAGAACAATGAGCCAAGTGATGCCTAGAAGGACAGGAAACGAACTAACTGTAGAAACAAAGATGAACTGTTAATAAGACAACATCTTTCAGGAGGAAAACGAAAGGCATCCTCATTGTTTATATCCATACATGTATCTACTTTTTTATCATTTTTATGTCGTAGTGTAAGCTATTCATTTGTTTGTAAAACACCACACCATTATCTTTTGGAAAATTCAAGGATGTGTCATAATGCACAAACATTCATTAACATAATTGGCATAGAAAGCACTCGCTGTAATGGTAATATTCAGAGCTAATGTCCATAGAATGAACATGTTGTTATATGAGAGCTTCATAGAAAGAGATTATAGAAGATAAAGAGAGCTTGATTGTTATATGCATATCAGAAGTAATCTTAAAGAGGACGTAACTCTCAGTATGGCTAATACAGCGATGCATAATTCAATACGTTTTAGTAATTGTAAATATTTTTGGAATCCCCTTGTATTAATGTGAGGATGACAATGTGAGGACACATTCCTTGAAGAGGGGGGCTGTGTAACGAACCAGTTCGCCACAATTTAAGTTATCTTGCAGAAAACGTAGAGGGCGCAGTAAGCTTTTGGGGCGTAAGGGCTCAGAGCGCGATTACGGACGCACCATGCGTAAAGCAGCTCTCAGAGCGTCTCAGAGGCTATAAATACCAGTATTTTACGGTAGTTTCGTCACTTCGACGCTGGCTCTCGTCTTGGTCAGATAGCGAACTCTCCGCTTTGCTCCAACTGAGCTCAAATATGGAAAAGGATTGGAAGCGAGAAATAGAGTTCCTACACAAGGCAATCCCTGCCTTTACTACTTGTTGAGATTAATACACATCCAACTATCCAAAACCCCTCTCATCTCCACACTCATATACTTTGGGAAAGCGGAGCCACGTCCAGGCCTCTTAATTACAAGCCAAATAAAAACCGCTCGCATTAGTCAGGATGGCAAATTCTTCGCCAGATGACGGTGATAGAGGCAAGGGACAGGCCAGCCCTCCAGCATCCAGGACCCGTTCTAAGATGGAGGGCCGTAACAATAGTACCCCCAAAACACATACTAGCAATAAAATGAATCAAACTTTTAGCTTGAACTCACCCCCATGATGTCTAAATGGTTCACTCCACCTTCTGATGTGGGAAAGAATGTTGCCAAGATCATCATCTAGAGACAGGACATGAGGAGAGGAAGAGAAAATGTATTTTCAATTTCAATTTATTTATGTTTCCAACAAAACATTGCAAGTAAACATTAACAACAAATGTAGGAATACATAATGGAAACAGAGGGGTCCACTAAGAAGTAATCCTTGTACAACTGTGAACACCTCAAACTATACCTAGGAATTATTAGTAATTAAATTAACAAGTCCATAACTACAATAGGAACTACAAAATAGGGAAAAGAGGGGGATGCCAACAGAGACGAGAACAGGACAAGACAGTACTTTACATGACAAAGATAGAAGGACACGGTCATAATACAAAGAGTAGACAAAATGCTAAAAAAGAAGTGAAAGATCGAGGGTACAGAAAATAATACAAGATGATGAGCTGCATGTGAGGTTGAGAAGAAGATGAGGAGAGAGAAATGCGTATTAGAAAGGAGATAAACATGAGAAGATACAATATAATATATCAAATTACAACTATAATGGACCACTGCATGAAATCAAATAAAAAGGAGAATTATTTCAACCATCTTACAACAACTGCAAACAGTACATCTTATCATAATTTAATAAAATACTGGTAAGGTGAATGTATCATTTCTAGAAATTCATGCTAAAAGACTCAATATTTGACTTTTTTTAAGACTTCAGATTGAGATGTTGTACCCTATAGAAAACTGGTTGGACAGAAACCACTTCAATTCTTGAGCAATGAATTTTATGTATACTGCTTCTCCTCTCCCATGTGTCTTAATCATGGCTTGTGACAATGTGGGCAACACTAGATTCAGCTTTTTGGTAAAACCGCTGTGATCAGTTACTTGTAACTGGAAAAGTTTAGCCTTAAAGCAATTACCGGTATCAACATTATGACTATTAATTATTTATAACATTCATCACAACACAACTCATGCTCATAATAATAATAATAAAAATGGTGCTTATAAAGCGCTCACCACCGAAGTCTCTAAGAGCATGAGTTGGTGACTAAAATATTTTCCAAATACAAGCATACTAGAAAAAGAAAATTCGATAATACATTTTGACCTTCTCATAATTCAATGTTCTGTGTAAGCCCGATGCATAATATGAATTTCAGCACCTACCTTGCATAACTGAGTGAAGAGATAGGCTGTCCCTGCTTGAACACATTTCCAAAATGCACTGTACTCTGACCTGAAATAAAGCAAAAATTATGAAGCAAAAATAAAAGATAAAATTTTGACTTCCATCCTCTCTTTCTCCTTCTCCTTCTCACTCAAAGCAGCAATACTATCCTTCATCAGTAGGGGTGCTGGTCCGAGAATGAGGATCGTCCGCATAAATAAAGGATATCCTCCAGTTTCCAGTGGGATGTGTTCACGCGGATAAAATGCCTCCTCAAAAATAATTTTCTTCAGCGCTCTGCAGTTTTGGATTCCCGATCCGCGCTAGCAATGTGAAAAACAGATTTCGCGTAATAAAATACCTACAGTTCACAGTCTACTTTTATGGTTTATCCATCTTCCCGAGGATTTATCGCTCATGACGTGAAAGTCTCTGTACAAAGTCAATGTGAAATGCATCAAGAAAATCATCGCGGTATCCTTTGTTCGCATCTTCTTCTTCTTCTTCAAGATAATCTGCCTCCTTCAATACTGAAGATTCTTGCAGATGCCGTATACTCGGCCTGATTGGGGTGTGCAGGTGGACCATTACACCGGGGTTTCCCCCTTCTCTTATACGAATAGTGCAATGGGTTCTTAACGTGCAAGGGTGGTGACTCTCCTGTACACGGGGCCTCCATTTAACGTCCTATCAGAGGGACAGAGTGTTTTCCATTTGACATAACCTGCGTCTATGAACAAGGGAAGGGGCACGTTAACACACAACGCAGACTTCAGTCATCCGCCTGGATGGGAGTCGAACCCGGGATCTTTGGTTCGACAGGCAGACGCTTTACCGACTGAGCCAACTCGCATCGCCAACACAAGGATCAGAAATCGGAATCGTCAATGAAAGTACAGACGATCCTTCTTTTTTCTAATGCGTCTCTCCTCGTTTATGCCGATGATCCTTATTCTCGGACCAGCGCCCCTACTGTTCATATTATAGTCACCAACATTCACTCACTCATACTAGCAGCAATACTATCTCTAGAGTAAAGGAGCCGGTAATCGGCCAGCTCCAGTTTTCGGCCGATTGGTTGGATGCATGGTAAAATCACATTAAAATACATGGCATAATAGCACAACACATATCCCACACATACCATACCATGCCAGTGTCACTGAAGAACCACATTTGCAATGAAAAATATATCCTAAAATATCACATTTTAGCGATGTAATCGGCGGTGCCGCTACCCGAATCTGAAAAATCGAGTATCTTACGCGTGTCTGTAAGAAATATGGGTACCATAAAATGAGCTTTATTTCAAGTATTTTTCAGATTAAGAGCCCGATTTTGTGCTAGTCGCAAGCTCAAAAGTATCTCATCGCATGTATTAAATCAATGCAGCCGCACACTGCAACGCACACACGATATCTCTGTCTAATTCAGATTCCAATTTCCGATCACGGCAGTACTAGTTTTCGGCCTAGCGAGCTGCGGGGAGCTCCGACGTGGGATACCTGCACCGCCCGCTAGTGCTATAGATCAGCGCGGAAATGCACGGCGTGCGTGCGCGCTTCGTATTGAATTTGTACATGCGGCCGAAAACTGGTTCGCTATGCCGACTGACTCCGAAACAGTGAAAATTGAGATGAATATTGTCATGGCAATTCGTGATTTTTTTTCTGGGATTCTTTTTTTGTTTAAATAATAATAATATTTGCTTCATGATTTGAACAAGAAATGATAATAAATAGGAAGTAAAGGGTCCAAAAAAATAGGATTTTGTCTTAAGTGGCCGAAAACCGGCTCCTTTACTCTACACAAACACAAACATTTTAACCACACTCAAATTTCTCATTTGAATTATAAATTGCAACACCTGTAGATCTAATCTGTATGTAAATAAAATAACAGGACTTTTACAGAAGAAGAAGAAGAAGAAGAGATCATTAACAGTGAGTATAGCAATGCTCCTATGAGTGGTAAAAAGTTAATAAAGCCAAATTTCAAGTCTAATTTTTTTACAACTTTAATATCAACGTGTGGGACCTGACGCATATCACATGATTACAAAACGGACATTTTTAAACATGATTGGCGCAATCAGATGCAAACTTACAATCCTGAGCACTTGTAGACTATGAAATATGGAATATAGGCAAGAGCCACACAATTTCCGAAGTGAAAAAGTGTCATTTTGGATAATCTTTTGTCAAGGTGCGGCAAAAATCTCGGAAATCTCGCCAACGCCACACGGTGTATTCAAAGAGCAAACAATAAAGAAAAAACAATCTAGAATTGCAATATTTGCTGGGGGGGGGGGGGCCGGGGTTGGTCACAGGGGCGGGTCCATTTGAAGCGAACCAGTTAATATCAGTGAAGCAAAGTGGTCTTGTGGATAAGACATCGCTTCACAATGCAGATGTACTCGGTTCGATTCCCGGCTACGCCTTTATACCTCGTCTTATTTTTTATCATTTATTCCTTCATATTGACTTATCCATCTCTTTTTTTTTTAAGAGGAAACCCCCCTCCTCCTCAACAAAGGAATAAAAGCAGTTAATGAGAATATTTTGTTAAGTCATTAACATCAGAAAGTGTTAACAACTTGAAACGGACCAGTTAAAGATAAACTTAAGTTCTGGTAATGCGATTGCATTGTGAAAGAAAAGGTGTGGAATGGATAAGTTGATCATATAGCATGTAAGTAATGGTGTGTAATGCAAGGTTCTGGAGTCATCAAAATCATCATAAATTTGGCAGAGTCTTGGTAAAGTAACAATCACTTACACAGAAAGATGTAGGCTATATGGGACAACACACATGGTGTCGGGGCTAGTACTACTCTGATTTCCTTATCTGTCTATGCTCATTACTAAGCCAGTATACATTTTCTTCCAAAATTGTTTGGCACATGACATTTATTTGTTATCTTGAACATTCAGTGTAAGTTAGATTCTGTGAGAATTCATTTTCTTTTTTTACCAGAACTCAAGTTTATCTTTAATATCACTGAAACAAAGTGGTCTTGCATTTTGTCCCGTCCTTAACATCTCATGGTATGATATTATGCGATTACATAGTTTGGATAGACTGATCATACACTCTTACATAGAAATAAAAAGAGATCATTTCATGACATGTTAAGGACGACACAAAATGCAAGGGTCTCCCCTTGCATTTTGTCCCGTTCTTTACAACTCATGGAATGATCTGCGATTACATAGTTTGGATAGACTGATCATACACTCCTATATTGAAATGAAAAGAGATCATTTCATGACATGTTAAGGACGACACAGAATGCAAGGGTCCATCCTTGCATTTTGTCCCGTCCTTAACATCGGCATGGAATGATCTGCGATTACATAGTTTGGATAGACTAATCATACACTCCTATATAGAAAAGAAAAGAGATCATTTCATGACATGTTAAGGACGACACAGAATGCAAGGGTCCCCTTGCATTTCGTCCCGTCCTTAACATCTCATGGTATGATATGCGATTACATAGTTTGGATAGACTGATCATACACTCCTATATAGAAATGAAAAGAGATCATTTCATGACAGTCATGTTAAGGACGACACAGAATGCAAGGGTCCCCCTTGCATTTCGTCCCGTCCTTAACATCTCATGGTATGATCTGCGATTACATAGTTTGGATAATTATACTGATCATACACTCCTATATAGAAATGAAAAGAGATCATTTCATGACATGTTAAGGACGACACAGAATGCCATTAGGGTCCCCCCTTGCATTTTCCCCGTCCTTAACATCTCATGGAATGATCTGCCATTACATAGTTTGGATAGACTGATCATACACTCCTATATAGAAATGAAAAGAGATCATTTCATGACATGTTAAGGACGACACAGAATGCCATTAGGGTCCCCCCTTGCATTTTCCCCGTCCTTAACATCTCATGGAATGATCTGCCATTACATAGTTTGGATAGACTGATCATACACTCCTATATAGAAATGAAAAGAGATCATTTCATGACATGTTATAAGGACGACACAGAATGCAAGGGTCCTTAACATCTCATGGTATGATATGCGATTACATAGTTTGGATAGACTGATCATACACTCCTATATAGAAATGAAAAGAGATCATTTCATGACAGTCATGTTAAGGACGACACAGAATGCAAGGGCCCCCTTGCATTTCGTCCCGTCCTTAACATCTCATGGTATGATCTGCGATTACATAGTTTGGATAATTATACTGATCATACACTCCTATATAGAAATGAAAAGAGATCATTTCATGACATGTTAAGGACGACACAGAATGCAAGGGTCCCCCTTGCATTTCGTCCCGTCCTTAACATCTCATGGAATGATCTGCGATTACATAGTTTGGATAGACTGATCATACACTCCTATATAGAAATGAAAAGAGATCATTTCATGACATGTTAAGGACGACACAGAATGCAAGGTTCCCCCCTTGCAAACTATGTAATCAAAGAATGCAAGGGTCCCCCTTGCATTTTGTCCCGTCCTTAACATCTCATGGAATGATCTGCGATTACATAGTTTGGATATACTGATCATATACTTCTATATAGAAATGAAAAGAGATCATTTCATGACAATATGTTAAGGACGACACAGAATGCAAGGGTCCCCCCTTGCATTTTGTCCCGTCCTTAACATCTCATGGAATGATCTGCGATTACATAGTTTGGATAGACTGATCATACACTCCTATATAGAAATAAAAGAGATCATTTCATGACATGTTAAGGACGACACAGAATGCCAGGGTCCCCCCTTGCATTTTGTTTCGTCCTTAACATCTCATGGAATGATCTGCGATTACATAGTTTGGATAGACTGATTATACACTCCTATATAGAAATGAAAAGAGATCATTTCATGACATGTTAAGGACGACACAGAATGCAAGGGTCCCACCTTGCAAAATATAATACTACTACTAAATATTAATACTAACAACAACAATAATAATGATAATGATACTTACACCACTACTTCTACTACTAATAATAATCATAGTAATATTGATTTCTTTTAAAGTAATGTTAATTATATTAATAATTAAATTTGTATAGCTCATTTTCCAGAGGATTCAATGCGCCGCCTCTTAGGCAATCACAAATTACTAACATTTGAAGAGGTATGTTTTCAGATTACTATTGACTATTTCCTTTTTCTTAGAAATGCAAGAAGTATAGCTAGGCGTGGGGCAACAGATCAAAGGATTTTATTTCCAGTCTGTTTGAAAATTAATGTTTTTCAAAAAGAACAGTCCATGTTTAGTGTGCAACCGACATGTAGCCTTGCTTAATCACAGGTTCCGAGTTAATCAAACTCGTTATTATACATTAAATTGAATTATTGATGTAATTTCTAACGTCCGCAAGATACAAAGGCTACATGACGTCATCGATAAGAGATGCACAGATCTCAAACTCTTCTGGGTTGAGCGTATTGTTAAGGGAGGTGCGCCCTCTGGTGTTGTGAATTGAAAGCGATGTAAGAGATATCGTAGAAGGTTGTTAAATGATAACTTTCGAGTTTATTTACTGTCTAGTACTTTAAACCACCCAACAAAAGAAGTATTGGGTGATGACTATGATTTAAATAACTTAGAATGGAAGATAGGAGAAGGACCTTTTAAACTGCGATCCTTTAGAGACGAAGTAGTGGTGGAAGGGCAAACCAACTTATTGCCGAAAATCCCAGAATGGCGGTTAGCACGACCACAAGTGTCTTTCGAACACCATGGCAAAGTGCAAAAAAAGGAAATGCCTCCATTTGAAATAAAATCGATTGTTCTAGATAGCATTGGAAATTCATGGAATGGGTTTTTACATATATATACAGATGGTTCTAAACTCGAGGATGGGAAGACAGGAGCCGCATTTTATGTGTCTCATTATAATGTGGTGAAATTTTTTAGATTATCCCATGTCTGTATTATGAGAGCAGAACTAGTGGCCATACTAATGGCACTAGAGTGGATTAATACATTTATTGAATCCTCTTCGGTGGTAATTTTTAGCGACGCTTTGTCAGCTTTACAAATGATCGATTCATACTTTATTAGATGTGCTATTGTAAATGAAATTTTATCCATAATTAATATTTTGCAGTTTAAGGATGTTTGTGTTGCTTTTGAATGGATTCCGTCACATTGCGATATTAGGGGCAATGAGATCGTAGATCGGGCTGCCAAAAAAGGAGCCATGAAAAGGTGTATAGACATAGTTATACCAAATACAAGAAGTGAATTGGCAGCCTCTCGTTTGATCCATTATAACAAATTATGGCAAGCAGAATGGGACAATGCAGAACACGGTAGATTTTTATATGCTTTGCATAGCGACGTTTCAAAGCCCATACATAGACAAGGCCTATCTCGCAGAGAAGAATGCTTGATACAACAACTAAGAGTAGGTAACTGTAGTTTAAATTATTACCTTTTTCAAATTAACCAACACGATACTGGTCTTTGTGAAGTTTGTCAAGAAGATGAAACAATTAAACATTTTATTTTCTATTGTACAAAATACGACAAAGATAGACGTCTCTTAAAAGAAAGGATTAAATTGAACAACCCCAATCTGAAACAATTATTGATGTCTAACCCAATTTTTACTCGTGAGTTATTGGGTTACATATACGATACTAATCGTTTTAGATAGCTTTTAAAGCTATCAGGGATCCCCTTAACTTATATCGATCCTGTAATAATATATAAAATGAAGTATTTGCGGTTTTTCCATGAACAACTGCAACTAACTCCCATCTCGCCTTTTATGTGCATTTTATGCAATTTTAATATTGCAGCCTTTTTTTTTTTTTTTTTTTTTTTTTTTTTTTTCTTTTTTTTTTTTTTCTTTTTTTTTTGTATATAAAACCATATCACTATTAATTTCATTTCACCAAGGAAAGTCGCTCGTGGGCTTGATTTCCGAAGCCCACGCCAAAGCTATACACGAAATTGACTGGCGCAAATAATCTTTGAGATTGAAGAGCGCCATCTAAACGAAGAACCAACCAACCAAGAGATGAGTAAAGAAGATGAACAGTTCCACCTTGGCTAACTGTTCTCCCAGACATCTACGACGACAGGGGCGTAGACAACGGGGGGGGGGGGGGGGGGGGGGGGGGGGGGGGATGAGGGGGATGCATCCCCCACCTCACAAGGTGGGGGGGGGATGGCATGTACAATCATCCCCCCCCCCCCCCAGGTTTTGGGGAATGATATTTGCTTACTTAATAAGTCATAA